ACTCTAGTGAAATTTGTGACACATTTTACTAGATCTAATATATAAAGAAACGTAAGCGCAATTCAAAAATCGGCAAATAGCGGGAAACTGCGTAGCGGTCCCGAAGGGAACGCGCATGCAAATAGCACCTTTAGATAATTGGTTCACTAGTATATTTGTACTTATGTTACCTATCGCAAAAAAGCGAACTTCCATAACCCTCCAATTCCATTTTTTTTCTTTCGGTTCCACCTGGGAAAATTTTACATCAACGGGTAACTGCACAGAACAACGATCAGCGTCAACGACACGTATTTAAATCTGACAATGGACATTGCTGCAATATGAGAAATAGCAAAGAAACACGAAGGAAATGGAAAAAACTGATTGCGAACAGCGAGAGCGGCGCTTGCCGCGCTGTAGCGCCAATCGTCTGCTCCGATACAAATTCGAATTCGACCGCCAAATGAGTAGTGGAGTGAGGGCGACTGCATAGTGCATATGCTTCAACCCAGTTTAGGCGGAAATTGGGCTAGCGGGAGTCCGCTTCGAATGATTCGCGCCGCTTTGCACTCTGCGTCTCTTCATTCTAATCTATCCACTGAGCCGGTGGCGGTGCGGACGGGCTGCTCTACTTTGAATGAATCGTCTAATCCGAGTTGAAAAAGACTTTACCTGGTTCCTGTATAGTATAGATGCTCGACTTGCCGTAGGTTTTGATGTCCATTTCTTAGAATAAATCTCCTAATCTACTTGACAGGAGAAATAAAATTCTGCAAAGCAGCCACTATGGGACCGTAGAAACACGAAGAAAACTCCAGATGGGTTACTATCAGAGTTAAGCAAAAGGTCAGGCACTAGTCTCGAAAACGACCCCCCCCCCCCTTCCAGGAAAGCTCCCAAACGACCCCCTCTTAATCTTCTCCACCTCCGGAACCTCGGAGTGTGACATTCTGGAGAAGACGAGTTTGCCCTGCGAGTTTTTGAATTTTAGAAGACTGTATGATCGCTTTTCTGTGATTGCACATTATAAGTACACGCAATTTGACGCGGATTTCGATTTGAATCGTTCTATCGAACGAGCCAGAATTTCCCCAGGGGTGAAGTGTTTTGCTCCAAATTTTCACTGAGGCAAGAAGAGGCTATGAGCTCAATATTCATACCAGGATTGCAGTGGCAGTTCCAAGATTTCGGACCGGGGGGGGGCAACAAAAAATTTTTTTCAAATGAAGGTGCATGGCGTCAGCCATCACGCACTCCGAAAAATTTTTTGGGGTGCTTTTCAAAATTTTTGCGGGTCCCCAACCCCTAAAATCTGGAAAAAGGGGGCGTGACGCCACGCCCCCGGAAAAATTTTTTTTTAAGGCTAATTTTTTGAAAAATTTTAAAAAATTATTTTAATTGTTTACAAAAATAAACGAGTCGTTTGCACAATTTTATAACCCACATAGGTAATTTTCAAGAATTTCGCGACTCATTCTCGGGGGGGGGGGGGGCGGGGCGCCCCCCCCCCCTTCTCCGCCCTTCCCCCCCCTCGGACCGCCGCTGCAGAATTGGACTGATTTCTGAATTTTGAAGACAAGTTAAGTGGGTCAGGCGCAGGGCTACAAAAGCTCAGGCGGCCTGACATTGAGGGGCTGCGCCCGACCCCATTAACTTTATCTTCGAAGACGCTTTTTCATCCAAGTTTTATGTAATTCACTAGCACAAACCTCGAACATTCAGTAGGGTTTGAGCTTAGCTCGACTTGTTTCGGCTTTGTGGTAATCTGAGGAGTTGACGCGCTCAAGGTGAAAAACGGATGTTTGGAATATTGACAGTACTTCCTAATCCACTATTTGAAAGCGATATGAACTCTAATTTCTGGTATAGACTGATAGGGAACATTACTTTGTTATGAGTATGAAAAAGCTGACTTCTTTCACTTTCGAAACCTTGTTAATCACGTTTGAATTTCAGGCTTTTTAGACGGCAAAAAACGCTAGAAAATGTAACACAATGGTCTGTAGTGCTAGTAGAGGTGATTTGATATGCTAATTATGGAAACTATAGTCAATTTACACAGCAAGCTTCTTTGATGACTTTAGTATTATTATTATTATTATTTATTGCATAAGCGCACCTATGCGAATAACGCAACAAATGAAACAAAACAAACAACAAATCGATCAACGATAACAAAACAAACGCAGTAAGTAATAATAACAAATATTCAAACATGATAAAAAGTATTAGAGGTAGGGCGAAAAATAACTACGAAGAGGAAGATAGATAGCTCTTGAGGATATTTCGAAACTGTGCCAACTTGACGGGAAAGTTATTCTTCCTAATAAGCTTATCAATATCACGAGTGACTCGGTTAACAAAGAAGACCCTCCTCACATTTCTCCTAGGTCGCTGTAAAACAATCTTACTCGAACCTCCTCTGGTTATGGAATTTCTCCTCTCAAAAAAGTCTGAAGCATTGAGTTTACAGCTTCCAAACAGAATCTTATGAGCCATAACCAGATCAAATACACGCCTTCTAGCGGCCAGAGTCTCAAGACCCATTTATTATTTCTTAAGGTGTAATTGGGAAAGCGGCCATATATGAATCCATTTCTCCTCACCAGTAGTTTCCTGGTGAAGCTGTTTTGTACTTTTTCTAAAACGTGAATACTTTTACTCTTACAAGGGTTAAAAACAACAGTCCCGTATTCAAGTAATGGCCTGATATAGACTTTGTAAGCTCGTAATAGAAAATCAATGTTATTCGTCATGAGGGCTCTAAACAAATTGTAAACAGCAAAAACTCCTTTTGCAGCAATTGTCTGACAGTGTTTATCAAAGTTAAGTTGTCTATTAACCAGAAAACCTAAGTCGGTCACTTCACTTACATACTCAAGTACATCATGCCCTATCATGTAGGAATAATCAACCGAATTGGGCCCTATAGACAACACCTTCGTTTTCTCACGCGAGATGGGCAAGAGCCAGTCTTCCGACCATCTAACCACAAGATCTAGAGCCCCCTGTAACTTCTCTTTATCACCTCGGTTAGAATTGGTACTGTAGATCTTGAAGTCATCAGCGAAGGCACATCAAGAAACACCGGCATTCAATACAAGATCAGGAAGCTCATAAGTATATATATTGAACAATATCGGAGAAAGGACCCCACCTTGGGGCACACCACTCAACATGGGTCTAGGAGTAGAGAAAGACTCATTAACCCGGACCATAAATGAACGTTCATGCAAAAAGGCCTGAATCCAAGATATGACACTGGGATGAATTCCAACCATTTTCAACTTAACTATCAGCTTAACATGCGAGACTTTATCAAATGCCTTAGTGAAATCGAGTTAAATAACATCAATGCCTTTCCCTGCATCTAGGGCTCAGTCCAGTCATTTAGCGAATGTAACATCGCTGTGACTGTTGACTTTCCCTCTTGAAACCTATGTTGAGCGCTTGAAATGATTCCATGAGAACTAAGATGGCTCACAATTCGCTTTTTCAATATTTTTTCGAACAGTCTAGCAAATATGGATGTTATACTAATGGGCCGGTAATTGCGAGCAGATGTAAGAGGTTTCTTTTTAGGTATGGGAGTTACATAGAATAGCCTCCATCTGTCAGGAACTTCGGACTTCATTGAACTTAAGTTAAAAATGAACTGCAAGGGCTTGGCTATGACATGGGCAACTTCTTTGATAAACTGAAGAGGTATATGATCAGTGGTCAGGGATTTTGATGCTGGCCACCTACGCAGGAGCCCGAAAATTTCTTCTTCATCAAAAAATACGGATTCCATATTCGCAAACCGAACTGCAACATCATCTGGGGCGATTGCATCGTCCCTTTCAAAAACCTTTTCGAAGATGTCAGCAAAACACTCTGATTTTTCAGAGTCTGCGCTTAGAGCAGCTCCATCATCTGCCAGAATGAGCCCCAGCTTTCTTCTTTCTTTGAGTCTTGAGTTGAGGAGGTGATAAAAAGCTGATTTCTTCCCACTATTGATGACTTTTTTTTCAAGGTAGATATAATATTTTTTCAATTACTTTAAGTATCTATGATTTACTTTTTTAAAGAAAGCAAAAGCATTTCCTCTTACATCTGATCTTGCTTTGTACCAGGCCTTGGCTCTTATGCGTGAGAGTCTTGATGTCTCGGAAGATTCGGCCTATCAAGTGGGACAGACTTTAATGGCACAAAAAGTTCAATCGTATGTTGAAGCGCCACAATAAACAACTCATACATGCCGTTGACTGACCCTGCAGCATTGAATGAGCCTAACCAATCAATAGTTCCCAGATAGTCAATAGCCTTGGCCATGTCAGCATTTTTGAAGTTCCTTCGCCAAATAAATTTGGTCTCAGCACTGCGCTTGCCCCTCAAGAGAAAACTTACTAAGGCATGGTCACTAGAGCCGACGGGCGGGTTAACTCTGACATCCTTTACCAATGCTTCAGCATTGGTCAAAATAAGATCAAGAGTACTATTATACTATTACCCAGGGTACTTCCCGTAACTTTTTGAACAAGCTGATGATTACGGCACATGGTCGTAAACATCTTGGCTGCAGGACACATCTTGCCCAAGTAGTGTCAGGTAAGGTAGGAAGAATTGAAATATGGCTAAAACTTTGATGGAATCAATTAATACGCTGGTCACGACAGTCATTCCTTCAATTCTATTGGAGTTGTGATATGCATCGGTTTAAAGCTTTTCTTCTTCACCTTACTCGATCGTAGTATTTCCTTAGTTTTGAGCGAATTCGATTTTTGATTACCCCCCCCCCTCAGTCTTACCACCAAAACGACCCCCCAGGTCGGGCGCGCCTGACCTCACGCTCAACCCTGGTTACTATTCATGTTCCCGTCGTCATATTCATGCTCACTGCCAACTCAGGACTTCAGGCGCACACATTATGGTGTGCATCGTGATAGCTTGTGAATGTGCTTACGACTATAGAAAACGCAAAGGCTTTAACAAATGTTCCACAACTTTTTAGGAAATTCATTTTCATTTTGTCATACGTTGCAAGCCAGTGTAGAAACAGATTGTCTTTCATCGGGCAACAATGAGATTGTAGCTACGGTGCAAATATTGTAAGGGCATTTACTTCAACAAAGGTGCTTTTGCAACTGCGCATATCCGCCATTGTCAAAGAAGCGCCTCACGTACGCTTGTGGCGCGGTGGACAAGGGCAGTATGTAGCATCGGCTCCTTGCTTTCCATTTTCTCCACGCTGAAAAGGAACTTCTTCGTAGATTCCCTGCCTTACGAAATAGAACTTACCGGTCCCGGTAAACCATTTCTACCAGGATGTCCGTCCTTCCCATTACGGCCAGGACGGCCTTGCGGCCCTGGTTCTCCATTCTTTCCGTCGGGTCCAGTTGGTCCCTGTTCTCCTGGAGGTCCACGTGGTCCTTGAGTCCCAGGAAGACCAGCTAATCCAGGAGTATACTGGACTCCTGGTTCTCCAGGTGGTCCTGCTGGACCGGGACGTCCACTTGCTCCAGGTGCTCCCTCGTCTCCTTGCGGTCCGGCATCTCCAACAGGACCAGCGTTTCCAGGAGGTCCACGGTGACCGAAAGGTCCTGCTGGTCCTGGTGGTCCTTGGTCTCCAGCAGGACCTCGTGGTCCCGGTGGCCCAGCAGGGCATTTAATGCAGCCTCCAGGAAGTTCGTGAGTCACCGCAAGAGCAAGACCCGGAGCTCCCGGTCTTCCATCCTCGCCATCTTTTCCAGGCTCTCCAGGAGGGCCTTTAGGACCGGGAGGTCCTTGTGGTCCAGGAGGGCAGTCTCTAGATTTCTCTCCACAATTGCACTGTTCTGGAAAACCATTTGCACGAGGACGGCGCGCGAAAAGAGATTCGAAATTGGGCACAGCGTCCGAAACGCCGCTAGGATGCAAATGCTTAGTCATGATGCGGCTCCATGTATCTTCCGAAATCCCCTAGAACTTATGTTTCATGAAAAGAGTGCTGTTCAAAATAACATCACTTTACCTTGAATTCATCCATGCCAACCTGGACTTCCATCTGGAGGTCAGAAATCTCCTTCAGTAGAGCAACCATGGTGATGAGGGAAGCGATTACAAAGGCCAAAGTGGCCACCGAGCCAACGAAGATCACGTTACTCATGTTTGAACTGACAACGACATCCGATCCCCCATATTTATATGGATCTATGGCAATGAGATAAATTTCGTGGATGTCTTCTCAGGCGTAAAGGTGGCAAAGCCAAGGGCAATGTCGGAAGCTTGTCTTTTGCCTCTCCTCTCCCTCTATGCTTGCTTACTCACTCGCGTTCGTACGTTTTCGCCATTGATTCACTTTTTTGTGGCAGCTAGAACGAGTCTATCATGGTGGCCTGATTAAAAAAACAAGGTGAACAGATAGTGGAACAAATTGTTGTCATATCTGGTTCTTATCTGGAACTGCTTCATCAAAGCGCCATTGCCGTCAAAATGAACCGTTTCGACAAACGATCACGCGATTCAACCTTACAAACACTCGTTCAAATTCTTCACGTAAATTTCCAGAAACTTCTACGCGATCAAAAATTGCCATGGGCTTAAAGTGAAAATTGGGAGGAAATCTAAATCTCTGCAAAGCACTGTCTTGCAAGCAAAAACCAATCGAAAATTCTTCCAATGAAATCTAGGGGGAAATTTTCTTGAAAGCATTTCCTCTCGAACTATACATAATTGTACGTTCAGGAAAGCTTTAACGAGTATCCCACCTGTCACGACATGGGGTCCTCAGACGAAGTACACCGTAAAGTTGACAACAATCCAAACGACCTGCGCTCATTTTTACCGCGCTTACCTGATACTCTTAGTCACTGCTCAGACTACACCAATTACAATCCTGTTTCCTATAAAGATGTACATGAGGGTACTGTTACAAAGAGTGGGAGGATAAATTACGTACTTCACAAAAGCATGAGCATATAAGGTCCGTTCATACCTCCCGCGATTTCAGTCGCCACGAGATTTGGCCTGCCAGATGTCTCAGAATCCAATCATGATAAACCACAATACATAGCGTGTGTAAATTTCGTAGATTGGTAGAATGCGCTATTTTCAACACATTCAGTATGCACCTACGCTGAGTTATAAACGTTTGCAGTGTGCCAAATCGTGTCCTGAAATCGCGTAGAGTATGGCCGGGCCCATAGGCAGTTTCAGATTGCATGACATATAATGAAAATTTTGCTTATTAACAAGGCCTAATGTCTAATGGAGAATAAAATTGGGTAGAAGTGACTGTGACTCCTCTCATATACCCAGCGAAACCACATTGCTGTCTGTCTCTCCACCTTATATTGCAAATTTTTATCGAAACGGTCTCGCCGATTTGTGATGCTAAACTCAAAAAGAAATTGCGTTGTGGAACGGACGCTAAGACGTATGGACAACACTACAAAATCATCAGTCTTTGAAATTTTATTGATATCTCGCTCTTCAGAAGGTCACACTATTTGTATAAAATGTCGCACCAACCCTAATTCGTGTCAAACGGTTTGTTTAGAAGATGGTGGAAAATTTATTCTATTGTGAATGTTTGTGATTTTGCCTGCTATGGTAGAAATCAGAATTCAGATCTCATGACAAAGTGTAATGGCGGCTAACAAAGCTTGGAAACTCTCCAGTTATTTCAAAGACAAGTTATGAACTCAACTTCTTTTTGCTATTTAGGTTGGGACATAGATACGTGCACCAAAACAGGAATAAACCGCAATCATTCATATTTGTCCTACATCCCAGATAGGGTCTGATACGACTTTCGATAGAACAAATAGCTCTACAAGACAGTGTTCAAAGGTTTGCATTAACTTTCATCCATGCAGAAGTTGAGGCCGAAAACTAAAAGCTCCAACACCTTGAAAAACAGGGAAAGATCATAATTCCATTTCAAAAAATCCCGCGGACCTACAGTTTGCTGAGAATATATACTCACTAGCTGGCTTACCCGGCTCCGCCGTATGTTCCGAATAGAAAATTCCATTTCTTAACCGATCCGGACCAAACTTGGCACACATACACTTCGGGCCCCGGCGGGTGTCACAGTCCACTTTTCGTTATCGATCGATGTCGATTTTATCGATTTTTTGCAAAATTTGAGCTACGGGGCTGGGAGTTGGCACAGGGGGGGTAATCGAGCATGCTGATCACCCCCCTGCGCCAACTCCCAGCCCCGTAGCTCAAATTTTGCAAAAAATCGATAAAATCGATATCGATCGATGACGAAAAGTAGCCTACGACACCCGCCGGGGCCCGAAGTGTATGTGTGCCAAGTTTGGTCCGAATCGGTTCAGAAATGGAATTTTGTATTCGGAACATACGTACACACATACAGACATACAGACAGACAGACAAACAGACATTCAGCTTTATATATAAGATTGCACCAAACACTCATATGTAGACTTTTCCTGGCTGGAAATCGAGAAAACGAAAATTCTCTCATTTTGCCAAAGTGATGCTAGGCTATGTCTAGCTATCCTCATTCGTGTTTTTTATGCCCATTTCGATATTTGCTGGAAACCAGCTGCTGTGGAAGGCTAAATATTCATGGTTGTACTACTAGAGGCTTATTATACAACTGCCCTACTTTCAGGGTGAAAGCAGCACTTTTTCAAATTTTCAAATGAGCCACTCAGCCGCCTCACTATGTTTCGGAAAGCGATTCTTATGCCGCACGATTCGTTGAAGCAATACGTAGCACCATAGGGTCCTTTGGTCGCGAAGTTTTCTGACCTGTTTGGGCTGGTCGATTTAAAAAAAAATTTTCTGCGCTTATACGCCTGAAAATAAGGTACTACTGTAAGAACAGTTCTTTTTTTCACACATGCAAATCTCCGTTTCCTTCATTTCTAATCGAGAAAAAAAACAGTAACTGCATATAATTTCTGATATGGAATGTTTATGCGTGAGCAAGTAAGAACTTTCGTGGCATTTTTTGAACAAAGTTGCGGTTTTTTCAGAAATTTTCTTAGGTTTTCCCGACGAGTGGATGTTTTCTAATTTTTGGTTTCAAACATCGCGTGGGTCATAAGTGACGCCAATTTCTGAAAATATCTTGTAGTGCTAGCTTTACTCTACTGAAAGATGCATAAAACCCTATTTGGGATACGAGAGAAATTGAATTACTGCAATTTGCATCCCATGGTTTCCAATATTTGAGTTGTTTTAAGGGGAACTAGCTGGCTTGCCCGGCTCCGCCGGGCCTGCCAGCTAGACCCGTGTACGTATGTTCCGAATAGAATTGGGACCGAACTTTGCACACATACACTTCGGGGCACGGAGCTTGTCACAGTCCACTTTTCGTTATCGATCGATGTCGATTTTACCGTTGCAAAATTTGAGCTAGGGGGCTAGGATTTTGCACAGGGGGGTAATCGAGCATGCTGATCACCCCCTTCGGAGTGATCAGCATGCTCGATTACCCCCCTCTGCCAAATCCCAGCCCTCTAGCTCGAATTTTGCAAAAAATCAATAAAATCGATATCGATCGATAACGAAAAGTAGCCTATGACACGCTCCCTGCCCCGAAGTATATGTGTGCCAAGTTTGGTCCCGATCGGTTCAGAAATAAAAATTTCTATTCCGCACATACGTACAGACAGACATACATACAGACAGACAGACATTCAGCTTTATATATAAGAAATAGTACCTTGAGATACATACAACTCAAGTTAAGATAACTACATAACAACTATCTCTCATTCTCTGACTGAGAGACACAAGCACGCTTTGCGTACGTCTGAGAGGGGAACGAACGTGTAATATTGTTGAATGTCGTTCCAGGACCAGTAGTCCTCGGAGGCGGTCCAAACTGGCGGGGGTGGAGGACTATATGTCGCCGAAAGGAGGTGGTCTCACGCAGACATCTGCAACAACCATGCTTGTTACAGCCAATGCAGATATGTACCAGCATTCCGCGGGATGGAACCCATCGGAGACATATAGGCCCCTATCCAACTGACGGCCTTCGTTCTCCTATCCCGTAGATCTGATTAAAGGCAGCGTCCAGGCAAGTCTGGACACATGGGGATCACATGTGGATAATAATTTTGGACCCTAACTAAGCAACTGCCCAACCGGCAGCTCAGGTAGTGCTCTAACGGCTGAGATTGCCCCCTCGAAACTGGACCCCAGGATCGTATGTCGCATGGATGGCGCAACGCATGGGTCCTCGCGCGAAACTAATATGGATCATGCAAATGGGTGGAGGACATTAGGTCGCCGAATTTGGAAGAGTCCCGCGCGGATTCCCTGCAGGAACGCATGTCCGCGCATGTGCAAGGGTGCGTATTTGTCGCAAATGACCGCGGAGACCGCCCTTTTTCGGCGACCTAATGTCCCCCACCCCATGCAAATACGATCCTGGGGTCCAGTTCGGAGGCGTATATCTCAGCCGTGAGAGAGTCACCTGCGCTGCCGCTTGGGCAGTGTCTTAGTTAGGGCCCCAAAATTACTTTGCACGTAAAATCTCCATAGGTCCAGATCTGCCTGGACGTGCCTTTAACAAGTTTATGAGCGTATTATAATACGTTTTGGTAACCGAAGAGGGGGGGGGGCAGCAGAAGGCGACAAGATGCGCAAAATGCAAGCAAAAACCGCTCTTGCTAACTTTTACAGAATTTTACTTGTGGCATTGAGTCATGTATTCGCCCCACCCCCACCCTCCTACCTTGGCGCCGTGTCACTTTAGGGATGGGGGAACGAAAGCCGCCAGGTCCAGCCGCCTTTCGCGGCCAGCTGGTCCTTTCGCAGCGTTGTTGCATGTCGTTCCAGGACCAGCAGTCCGCGGAGGCGGCTGGACCTGGCGGCTTTCGTTCCCCCACCCTCACTTTAGCAACAGAGTTCCAAAAGGCACAAGATTTGGGGACTGTCGCCTTCCGCATCACACCCAGTCGAAGAGACGGATAATCTCAGGGGCAAATCTACAACCACTTCATATCTTATTGAAGTCACACATGACAAGAAGAACAAATTCCAGCTTCCACATTGCACAAGAGACTCAAATCCGGCGGGTCCCATCGCGATTACTGTTGCGCGCCTTCTCATTGTTTTGATTGTTCACGTTTGCTTGGCGTTATCATATGGTCCTACCAACAGTGTACCAAGTGTCAAAGGTGAGTTGCAGTTTTGGGGCTATGTGCATTCATATTTTGGTGTAAGAAGTTCTAGTCAAATTGATGAAGCTTTGAGATGGTGGACTTCTTTCTGGTTATACTATATTACTTTTTAGATGGAGATAAAGGAGCCACCTCGTGGAGAGCGTGTGAAGATAAATGTTGGCGGCCTTGTCTATGAGACGTCTCTTTCGACACTTACAAGAGTGAGCGGCAGCGTGAGTCAATTTCAGAACGATATAATCTCGCATTCGAAACGTTTATCATTGAAGGTCCTCGCAATTATGGTTCGTCGTCGTCAAGGACAGGAAGAGCTGTTCGTTGATAGGGATGCGACACATTTCGATGAAGTATTCTGTTTTTGTTCAACGGTTAGGTAAATAACGAAGGCTGCATAGCAGTGGCGTACCCAGGATTTCGGCTCGGGGGGGGCGCGGCAAAAAAAATTTTCAAATGAAGGTGCGTGGCGTTAGCCACGCACTCCGAAAAATTTTTAGGGGGGCTTCTCAACAATTTTGCGGGCCCCCAACCCCTAAAATCTGGAAAAAGGGGGCGTGGCGTCAGCCACGCCCCCGAAAAAATTTTTTTTTATAAAGCTATTTTGAATTTTTAAAAAATTTTAAAAATTATTTTAATTGTTTACAAAAATAAACAAGTCATTTGCACATTTTTATAACGCATGTAAGTAACTTTCAAAAATTTCGCGACCCGTTCTCGGGGGGGGCGCGCGCCCCCCCCGCCCCCCCCCCTCGGTACGCCACTGCTGCATAGGTACTGGATTACCTGAGAGACGGCCAAAGTTACACCGCTCCTGAAGATGATGAAATTCGAGAAAGTCTCCGAAGGGAAGCTATGGTGAGAGTAGTGGAGAACTATCGCAATTTAAAACATGGTTGTAGTTTTACAATCTGCCTGGCCTTGTGAAGAAGTGTTCGGATGAGATCTTTGTTGGAGACTGGGTAAAGTGGAAGAGGAACGCCATCGACAAATATTGGAAGTTCTTTATCAGGTGACAACTACACGATCTCTAAGCGAATCCATAGCCCAGTAGATTTGACTGTTTTCGATGTCTTTGCATTGCCGATATTACTAGCGCATAATATACGAGGTTTGTGGTGCAGACATCTGCGCGCAAAACAGGGTCATGGAGCATACAGCACATTCGCGACCAAGCCTTTTTTTTATTTCTGCCGTTTTGGACCAGAGCATCTTTTGCAAAGTCAAACATATTGGTAGATCGTATTTTTCGAATCAGAGGTTTTCTGGCTAGAGCTCCACCTAGATGTCTCCAAAAATGTGCCAAAAATTCATGAACTTTTATGGTTCATGGCTTGATGTCTCGCCGTTACCTAGCCCCAGCCCTTACCAATTATTCTTGAAACAGTTCATTTAGTATATTCTAGAGATCTTGCTCCTTTCTAAAATAGATCTTCATCGGGGCAAGTCAGCTAGCGTCACCTGCGAGCTCGCTGACAGCCAAATGACGGGGTATTTATAGCAATTGCAGAGTGGGCAAGATTCAGATTCTATCAGTCTACAAGGATTGTTCGCAGCCTAACTTCTAGGATACCCATACGTCTTGGTAGGCGGGAACACGATGAAGAAACGCGATTTTTCCAGCTGTCACCAACCTAAAACTCCAATTTCGTGCTATGGGATGAAAGAAGTGTCGAACAAAGTCTATTGGCTTGCTAACCGTTTTAAGTAACCGTCTGATAAGCTTGACAGTTTTTGCTGGAAAGCTGGCCGGAATGTTTATAAAATTGCTATTGACTGCATTTCCTTATCTTTTTGACCTTCAGCAATTTTGTTTGGAATCCATTTCAAGATGGATCGAGCAATCCGTGCACTTATCTAATACACTTCTGTTGAGATTTTGAGTAACTCTAGAACTTTGTAAAACACTAAATATGTGCTATACGCTGCCCATCTGGCAACAAAAATCGCGTCTCTTGTTTGTTTATAGTTGCTTTGTCTATTTTTTTCATTGTGGCGTATCATGAGTGTATTAAAAATAAAATAAATTAAATGAAGTAAACATGCAAAGGTTCGTACTTCACACAGTGGGTGGTATTGTCGTGAATATGAAAGCTTTGTGTGCTATGGTGTTCTTTTTCCCAAGTGTTACCTGTTACTATAGCATCCGCCAAATCTGAGGCTATACAGTCTCTCCCAATCTCGATCAGTCCCAAAGGCGAGCACAGGGCGTCTAGCTGAGACCCAGCTTGTTCATCCCTGCCGAGTAATTACCATGACAGAGGTCACCATGAGTCAGCATGCTAATTTACGGCCCCACCCCCCCCCCCCTCCCCCCCTCCTCCTCTAATTCTCACATCCGAGCCGAAGTCTGCAAAGTATTGATAAAATGATAAAGGTTTCCTGAAGGAGAATACTTGAAGGACCACCCTGGGGTATTGTATCTCGAAAACCATCGCCTGTAACCATGTAGTACCATCACTGTCTCACGTTGGAAAAAAGATCTCTTAGGTTCAGGTATCAGCGTCAAGGAAACAGACAGACAAAATGCATGGCCTGCGGATCCAGCGTGTCCGGATATGTGGGACCCTCTATCAGTAATGAAGTCACGACCCACGCAGGAACTGCGATGAACACGAACAAAATGTTGCTGATAAAAGAGGAGGAAGACTGGACGCCTTTACTGCGTCACATGCGCTTTATGAAAGGATCTGTAATTGAGGTGATGTTGATTTATTTTGTCTTTCTCGGCAGCGTCCAGGCAAATCTGGACCTATGAGGATTTTACGTGAAAAGTAATTTTGGGCCCTAACCAAGGCACGACCCAAGCGGCAGCGCAAATGACTTACTAATGGCTGAGATATACGCCTCCAACCTTGGACGACTTGCATCATTGCATGCTTTCGCGCGAGGACCCACGCGAAGCTGATGTGTCCCGCCATGAATCCATGCGAATTACGGTCCCGGAAGTTCCAGTTTGTAGGCGAATATCTCAGCTGTTAGAGCACCATCTGAGCTGCCGATTGGGCGGTGTCTTACAAGGGAAGTTCGCGGGGTCGAAGTGGCGATTCGGTTGGTGATGTATACCAAAGGATAGAGCGTAAAACCGTGCTCTCAGTTATACCTCCGACACCTGCGACGCGTTTTTCTAGATGGAGTTATGGGCTTTTTTGCATATATAACGGAAGTGTGGTCTAGAAATGAAATGACGACATGTGAATAGACAACATTTTCGGAAAAATTCGAAAACGGTCGGATGAACTCAAATTAGGCCCTACAGTGCTTTATAAGTAGTTTGCTTGAGCTTGCACACTTTTGTATAGAAGTTACCATGATTTTGCGACTCAAAAGGCACGAAAATTTCGAATTAGAAAAGCTCATAACTTTTTTAAGAACAATGCATCGCAGATACAGAAGGTATGTCTGAGATCAGCGTTCTAAGCTCTATCCATTGGTATAGATCACCTTCTGAATCTCCACCTCGACTAAGCGAACTTCCCTTGTTAGTTATGGTCCCAAAATTACAGTCAACGTAAGATCTTCATATGTCCTTTGCTTGGACGCTGCCTTCAAAGCTATAGATTATTTGAGTCACTTGTCGTTCGTCTCACAGAATTATTCCCATGTGAACCATCAACGTGGCTGCCTTTTGATTCTAACACATTACTTCCAGTAAATTTAAGACGCTTAAACGAATTTGACATGTTAAAGACAGCCACGTTGGTTCATACGGGGAAAATTCTGGGATACGCACTCTTAATAATACATGTACTGCAGACAATGCGCGGTAATCAACGGCTTTCATTGATATTGAAATGAAGATGATATGAGGCTAAAATGAACAGGCTTTTCCATACATAGGATCCCGAAGAAAAAAAACGCCTTCAAATGCTGAGTGCCTGAATTTGTTTTATATGTCTTCCAGAATCCCAAGCAGAGGTATTTGTTTGATTTGTTTTCATATGGAATTGGCAACTTTTGGGCAGTTGCCAAATCTGCTCCATGTTTCGCTCTCAACAGCTCTTGCGATTACCGGCGGCAGGCCTTTGGTCCCTCCTCACCGCCGTCGCCCAGGCGAAGGCGCGGTTTAGAGGGCTTTCAATATACTTCTCGGCCAAATGAATGAACTGAGCTGCCGTTGGACACCGGCTAACCCTTTCTCATCTAATCAGCTACGTGAGAAAATGCTTTATATATGTCTGGATCGTGCTCTAACGCGCAATTCGTACGCATCCATACATGTATAATACGGGACCGGCCATACTATCCCAGGTGTGATTCCTGCGATTCCTGTTACTCTGCAATTCCTATGATTCCTCCACTTTCGATGTGTCGCACTGAGCGCTCTGACAAGGGAAGTTCACTTATTCGAAGTGGCGATTCGGAAGGAGATCTATGCCAGTGGATAGAGCTCAAAAAGCTGATTTCAGATGTACCTTCTATATCTGCGATGCGTCGTTCTGAAAAAAGTTATGAGCTTTTCTAAAACCAAATTTTCCTGCATTTTGAGTCGCAAAATCATGATAATCGCTATACAAAAGTGTGCAAGCTTAAGCAAACCACCTAGTAAGTATTGTAGGTCTAATTCGACTTCATCCGAACGTTTCAAGTGTTTTCCGACCATGTCGTTTATTCACAGGCCGTCATTTGCTTCCTTTATCACACTTCCGTTATATAAACAAAAAAGCATAACCTCCATCTAGAAGAACGCGTCGCAGATATTGAAGATATATTTGAGAACATCGTTTTACGTTCTATCCACTGGTAGTTTCCAAAAAAGTTTCCGACGCGACGCGTTCTTTTAGTTGGAGATTATGGGGTTTTTTTGTATACTTAATGGAAGTGTGATAAAGGAAGCAAATGACTGCCTGTGAATAAACGATATGGGCGGAAAACACTCGAAACGTTCGGATGAAGTCGAATTAGACCTACAGTACTTACTAGGTGGTTTGCTTAAGCTTGCACACTTTTGTATAGCGATTATCATGATTTTGCGACTCAAAATGCACGAAAATTTGGCTTTAGAAAAGCTCATAACTTTTTTCAGAACGGCGCATCGCAGATATAGAAGGTACATCTGAGATCAGCTTTTTGAGCTCTATCCACTGGCATAGATCTCCTTCCGAATCGCCACTTCGAATAAGTGAACTTCCCTTGTGAGAATATCAGTATACTTCGTTTTTCGCAATATGCATCGTTTCCGACCCGCAGGAATCACAGGAATGGCTGCACGTCAGGAGGTACGCCGCGCGCGGCGGCCGCTTCGCCGCGCACGCCGCGTCCCGATCTTGGGACCCATAGTGCTCCCCATACCAGAGACTCCCGGCGGCAAAAAGGTGGGGGTGGGGGTGGAGGCAGATATATGACTCAATGCCATAAGTGACACTGCGCCTGGAGTGCTGCTGTTGTATTGTTTGAAGTACGTTGCGGCGTCGCTTTGCGAAAAATTCGCGCCGATCGTACCTCCTGACCGTCCCCCTCACAGGAATAACAGGAATAGAATGGCCCGGTCCCTACAACCTGACTGCAGCAATCCCCTCTTGTGGGAGGAATGGAGGGAGCGATCAAAGTTTGCGCTATTCGTAATTGTTACAGGTTGATAGCTCTTGCTGCCGTGTGAAATGGGGCCGTAACCTGGAAACACATCTCCCTCGATCCGTGCTACGTTTGGTCAGCTGAAGATGTTTTTGATTATTTCAGGCTTTTCACATTCCACTTATATTCTTTCTTTGCTCAGATGTACACTTTTCGTTGATTCTCAGTCAGGAAGATCACTTTGATTGTTGTCTATCACTTTTAGTTGTATTTTAATTCAGATGAGGTTTTTGAAGCGTTTTCTTTTTGTTGGTAGTTACTCTTCTCTCATTAGCCAATTTCTGTGCGTTTGTTCATACTGTGCAATGAAGTGAAAATAACTGGTTGTAATTAGTGAACATCACATACGCCACTCCATACATTTGGCATTCCAAAATCCCAACAAGATGAACACTTTGGGTTATACTAGTGAACCAGCAATTGAAGGTGCTAGTAGCATGCGCGCGCTACGGGACCGCCACGTGGTTTCCCGCTATGTGCACATTTTTGAACTGCGCTTACGATTCCTTATATATTAGATAGATAGACACAGAGGCCCAATAAATGTGCTGTCGAAAATTTGAAGAAACATATAACCTTCCAAAATTTGCTGATGAAGCAAATTTTGGAGGGTTAGAATGTCAATCTTCTTCTGGGATATGGTCTGTCTTTAGGGAAAGATCCCGAAAACGTATCTCGCGCGATTTCATTCGCGACGAGTTTTGGCAATACTCCATGGTCACAACTCATCGTAAGGGGTTTTTGAATGTACGTAAGATAGGGCGTTTTATCGGCCTACGAAAGTTATACGTGCTGTGCCTTTGGGACCTCCCATCATCGAATTTGAAGACATCTGTAAATTGCCAGATCGCGTGGCGACTGAAATCGGGTGAGGTATGCCTTGGGCCTTTGTCCTGCTGTCAGACACTTTTAAAGGCCGTACAAGTAATGTGAGCGCAGAATCCTCATAGAAGCGCTCTGAGATAACTGTATCACTAGACACGTTTCTTGAGAAGGGTGAGTGAACTAGATATCGTGCTTTCGTTTCACCAAAACAAAAAAGATTTCCACACGTGGATTACAGTGCCAACCCAAATGCTCCCGATGAAATTTTTTTGCTACTAACAAGGAGAGGATACTCAGTCGAAAGCACCAATCCAGATGAGACATATATCATCTTAAAGCGCTTAAAACGCTGATTCCAAATCTACACTTTCTAGCTGCGGAGCGGTTTTGTAGAAGGAGTTATGAAGGGTGTTTCCCTCTGCGGTTTAGGCGCCCTCCAGCGGTCTCCCCTTATCTGTAAGCATTGTAGAGGAGTATCAACTGATGGCAACTGACCTAATGGCGAGTAACTTGAATGAAGATTACAGTAAAGATTAAAATATTCATACTACTTTGGCTTTTCTAACACTTCTAACTTCGATTAGTATCAATATCATCAGAAGTTTCATGCTTTAGGGGCTCTAAAGCCATTTAGAAGTTCACTTTAGCATGCGAAGGGGATAAAACTTTGACACTCTATTTATCGAGCACGTCACTTACCACGTCAGTTGCCACCAGTTGGTACTCCTTTACAGTGCTCATAGGTAGGGGGACACTGGTGGAGGGCGCCTCAACCCCAGAGGAAACACCCCCCATAATTTCCTCTACAAAACCGCTCCGCAGCTAGAAACTGCAAATTTGGAATCAGCGTTTCAAGCGCTTTAAGATGATATATGTCTCATCTGGATTGGTGCTTTCGACTAAGTATCCTTTCCTTGTAAGAAAAGTCACATGCACAATCTTATAATGCATGGGGTAACTTTCGAAAACCCATTCTCGGATCATTCGTCCATATTTTTTCCGAGCCCGCTGGAGAGGATTTGTTTACAACAAATAAATTTGCAAAATTCAGCTTCACTGTTAAGCATACAGATGGTGAATCAGCAGAGTCTATGGTCATGCTAATTACAGCTGAATTTCAGATTTCTCTCGACTAAATTTATAATACAAAGCCCTATACATGATAGCGATAGCGTATTCCCCTGCTTCGAAATGCTTGTCTTGCTGACTACTTGAACGCCGCTGAGTAATTGAATATTGGGCCCATTGCTCGTCGAGGAGTTTTCCTATGCCGGCATCGTCATCACTTAGCCATTCGTCCGTTTTATGCGATTATTACTCATAAACTTGTGCGTTTTAGCCTATGCTAAGGTCTACAATCGTCTTTTCGAGGATTTGCTAGGAAAGTACGGTGACTTAATGTTCACAAATCCAAATTTGCTTGGAAGTTACCAAAATTTTTATCTTTAGGTATAATCGTCTCGTACGACCTGCTGTTGATCCAAATGACACAATCCATATAGAGTTCAAGCTAAAACTAAGCCAAATAGTCGATATTCATGCGAAGGATCAAACTTTGACTGCCAATGGATGGCTAATACATGTTCGCTCTCGGAGTCTGTTTTCTGAAAACCTAGAATCCGTTCAGAAATTTATTATAGCATTGGTATGATCATAGACTTTCATGGAATCCAGAAGAATATGGTGGAGTGAGGCACTTTCATTTACCTGGCGAAATGATTTGGTTGCCAGACATCATCCTTTACAATAAGTCCGTTACCCACAGCTCCCAGATATAACTTCCTTTTTTGGATTTTTAGTGCACATGGTAGCCCTTGGGTGTCAGCGATTACGAAAGCCGAAGTCTATCACGATGGCAGAGTGGTAAGCAATTCCATTTACATATGTCTTATCTTTATATTTATTGGGACTGCAAAAATTTCCTCTTATTTTCCTAGACGTGGATACCACCTGTGGTCTATCATTCATTCTGCCCTATTAACATCGAGTGGTATCCGTACGACATACAGCAATGTGAGCTCAAATTCGGTAGTTGGACCTACAGCGGTACACAGCTAGATTTGATGCATGTAAGTTCATGGATATATTACTGGCTCTTAAAATACGTATTCAAAATGGAATAAGTCGGATATGCCGTTGTTTTATTAGTGACAAGGACGATATAAATTAGTCTATAGCCTTTTTGAAAAATATGCTAAGGAGAAATCTGATGTGCACAACAGTAAAAAAAATCAGTGCCACCTTGAGATACAATCATCTGATTCTTTATTTGCATTTGTGTGGATTCTTTGGCAAAAAATTACATGAAAGTTTTCAAATGCCATTTTAGCACGATATTAGAAGCCCTCTGTTAATAAAACTTTCCTGTTTCACAGCCAATCCGTTTTGTTCAAGAAATGCTGACCTTCTTCCTGTTGCGCATAATTACTCCCACGCTAATCTTATGTCTATGAGCTTTTGTAGCAAAAATCCTCACCTCACTTGCTATCGAGAAGAAAAGTGCGAAGTGCCAGCGCGGTGACTGTGCCGGGTTGTATGTCAAGAGCAGGGTCAAGCGTGTTGATGCGATCCTGGACCCTCATTTACGACCCCCCCCCCCTCCCTCCCTCCCTTCTTCCCCCTCCCCCATCTATCCCCCTTACCTCCCCTGCCCACATTTCTCGCGGTAACCTGCATAAACGAATGTCAATCTCAAAAAACACCTGCGTGAGAACTTCAGTGAGGTTTCGAAAGCAGAATTTCTAGGCCAATGGGTGCGCCCAGCATCTCTAGCACATATACACACCTTCAATAATGTTTGAGATTCTGCAAGTTTACTTTTGAATTTTCAGGCATACTTCGGGCCAACAAATTCGATTCCCGTATGCGACACAATTCTTACACGGAGAACAAAATGACATTCTTGAACTACAAAAGATGTTTTCGACTAAGAAGCTCAGTTCTTACCTCTTCCACAGTTTTCCCTGCGAAAAAAAACCGCTTTAGCGCCTCCAGAACGACGTCAAAAACATGCATGAGCACGGTATTTTGAAAATTGTTAACTAAAGACAGGGAAGGATTGAGAGGCTGCAATGAACAGGCTTTGTAGTATAGGCCCAGACTATTCATAGAAAAAGTTTCAGCCCTTGAGGAGCAGTGAGCTCGAAAAAATTCAGATCAGGCTCTCGCAAAAATAGATTCTTATGATAAAAACTAGAGGGATGGCCTCGTATTACAGCAAGTTTGCAGCTAACAAGCTTCAATAGCTCCGGCGAAATTTGGATCAGGCGCAGATACGACCCCCCCCCCTTTTCTCATTTTTTGCTACCATACATAAAATCATAAAAAAATCCGAAGTTCATAAAATAACACCAGATTTGGCACAGCAGTAGCAGGGCTTATCTAGAGTACATATAATTTGTAAGGGCCACATAAATGGCATTACAAAAAGGTTTATGAATTACTGATTGTCATCGTTGATCTACATGTGCGCTTTTGTCGAGTGTGCGAGTCTTCAGTGAGCCTTCGGAAGCAGGATGTCTACACCGATCGGGTACATCCAACATCTTTATCACACATAAATGCCTTTAGTAGCATTTGAGCTTCTGAAAGTGTTTATTTTTTGGATTTTAGTCATGCCAGCAGGGTTCGATCCCCGTTTGAGACAATGTTTTGCGGCAGAAATAGCGATTCCCATAAAAAAAAAACTAGGTTGTAATCTTTCAAAAGGGCAGCAAATGAAGCGAATTTCTACGCTTGCAAATGTTTTCAAATTATTGTTCACTCGTTTTTATTTGATACATTGGTACACCGCATTCCATGAATTTACTGTTAAGAACATGTAATAATTACTTGCTATTTGATTTGCTTTCAATCGTACGGTTTTTTTATCTAAACTACCCCCTCCCCTCACCGTAGGCCCCCTTTACGACCCCGTTGCGACAGTCGCGTCACACGCTTGACCCTGGTAAAGAGACGCGATTTTTATTGCCGGTTGGACACGGATTAGCGCATTTTTTAGTATTTTATGATGTTCTAAGAAAATGACTTTCTAACAAGATGTGTGTGATCATCCCAAATCATCTCATGGTAGTGGCGGTCCCAGGATTTCCAACCAGGGGGGAGGGAGGGGGGGAGGCAAATTTTTTTTTCAAATGAAGTTGTAAGCGTCAGCCACGCACTCTGAAAAAATTTTAGGGCTGCTTCTCGAGATTTTTGCGGGTCCCCAGTCCCTAAAATCTGGAAAAAGGAAAGTGGCGTCAGCCACGCCTCCAAAAAATTTTTATAAGGCTAATTTGAATTTTTAAAAATTCTAAAAAATTATTTTTATTGTTTACAATAATAAACAAGTTACTTGCACATGTTTGGAACTCAAGTAAGTAAATTTCAAAAATTTCGCGACCCCTTCTCGGGGAGGGGGCGCCCCCCCCCTCGGTCCGCCACTATTCCATGGGTTGCTCGATCTTATCTTTTAAAATGGATGCAAAGCAAAAGTGTTAAAGATCAAAAATCCGTGAAAATGCAACGGGTAGAGGATTATATGTCGCCGAAAGCGGAAGGGTCCCGCGTAAATATTTCAATCAGATTTTTACCAAAAGCCGTTAAACTTAGAAATCGGTCGCTCCAGATATTAGCCTAGAGCACTTCGACTAGTATTTTTGAGAGTCTCTTTGGGCTGTTAAATTGGTCCCCTTTGGAGAAATCGCCCCTCTTTACCGTCTCCTCCTGTGCCGTAGTAATGCCTTGCCGGAAAATCAGCATGAGGCGCGTGCACGTTGCTCCGGCACGGCGCTGGCACGGCTCTGGTAATTCTTACATGGTGCAGGCGCAGCCCGGCACATTCGCAACGTTGGACGCAGTTTGAGAGACTTGGACGCGTTCTAATGAATTCATGTGCATATCCCAAATTACCTTTGCAATTAATTATCTTGAAAACTTGCACTTATTTTTTGAAGTCTGATTTGACACCTCGCTTTTTCAGCTGTTATCTGATGACGTCCACTACGTTATACGTAATAATGAAAGCGAATGGGATGTAGAGAGGGGTGTAGATGTTTCCGCTTATCAAGTAAGTACAATCTGCTTAAAACTATTTTTCTTGATAGGTGCAGCCTCTTAGGAATCAGTGGAATGGGATTTGCTGTCGGTACTGAGCACTCGTCATGAGAAATGGTATCCCTGCTGCGATTATCCGTGAGTCGAATTACTTATGAGAAATGTGTATCAGTACCGACTATACTTACATAGCAGTTTATGACATTATAATTTGGATAAGATGAGCGGCAAAATGTCTGTATTGTGTATATTGTCTATACTGGCTATATTCTATACTGTCTATATTGTCTTTATTTGTGCGCGTCATACTATCATTGATAAATAGATAAATACGTTACCCGGTCTGAGGAAGGGGATAAATGCCAAGGAGGTAGGGAGAGTAGCGGAGAGAGAGATAGAGAGAGAAAGAAAGAAAGGAAAAGAGCGAGAAATAGAGGAAGAGAGAGAGAGAGAGGGGTAAAAGGCCGGGCATACCTCACGCGATTTGGCGATATTCCAACTGTCCATAATTCACTGTAAGCACATTTCAAATGTACAGAAGATAAGGCATTTCATAAATCCACATAAGTCATACACGCTATACATGTGCAGTGGGCTAGTGTTGGATCTAAAGAGTTTTGGCGAATTGCCAAATCGCAAATGAAATCGCGTGAAGTATGCGCGGCCCTTAGTGAGCTTCACACTGATTTTGTCGCAACTTTCTCGAGTGGTTTTGAGCAATGAATAAAAAAAGTAAAGGGTTACTATTAAGCCTGTTTCGCCTCTACCCCTATACAGGAATACAATAAGTGAAAACCAACCAGCATCTCGTGCAAGTCACTTAATCGGTCTTTTTCAGGTTTTTAAAGAATGTGCCGTAAATGAATTTTGGTGTTCTCAAAATTTTGAATTCGCAAGGGAATTCCGAGGAGCTCTACTCGGGAAGGGAAATGAAAACAATTTTTTTAGCAAGATAGGGTTAGCCAGGGAAGACTTTCCGATGCTTTTCAGACCTTCACTAAGCCTACTTTCTTTTTAGGAAGCAAGTCGATTTCTTGTTTTGAATTCGTTCATAGAAATATCTTTTCACAGAAAGACAGTTACTTTCATTTTTCATGTACCTCTCGAAAATTTCGAGATTCCAGATCTATCGATATAACCTACTATGTTCAAATTCGACGAAAGAAGCTCTTCTACACAGTCAATCTCATTGTGCCATGCGCTTCTCTGGCTGCCCTCACTTCATGGGTATTCTACCTTCCTTGTGAAAGCCATCAAAAAGTGCAGCTTTGCATCTCCATTCTTGTCTCTCTCACTGTGTTCTTTCTGCTTTTGGTAAGTCTAACAAAGAAGGTTTTGCATGCAGACAAATACTATTATCCGCTGCAGGTCGAGATTATTCCACCTACGAGCATTGCCATTCCGCTAATTGTCAAATATTTGACTTTTACTATGTTTATGGTCTCCTTATCTGTTATTCTGACTGTCATCGTAAGTGCATTTGATTTTATGGAAAAGGATTAAATTTCTATGCGATTTTCATCGCAACAGGTACAAAATTTCCACTTCCGCACAGCGGATTTTCCAATCTCGGATTGGGTACGTCGCATCATCATCGAAAAATTAGGCAGACGGCTGCTCATCTCGAGAGCCACCGAAAAAGCTAATTTTCATAGAAAAGCTCAGCATAACAAAGTAAGCTCCCGTAAGGCCTTTACAGCAAAATAATGAAATAAGTTGTTTTAGCAAATCAACGCCCTGTCAGCTATGTCAATTCTTCAAAAACAATTTCACAAGACAGTCTTTGAGATAGAAATGGCAACGAAAGAGAAGAAGCAAATGAGCACCGTGAACTCACTTTTCCTCGATTTGCCACTCCTGAATCGCTCTAAAAGCGTGAAACAAGGCTCGCTGAAACGAACAATGTGAGCACACTCTATAATTTGATTTATTTTTGATCGAGACTATCAAAGCAAAGTTGGTTGAACATACAGTAACTCGCCGCGTATTCCCAATATTAGACTGCGTCTATACGTCTCAACTGGCACAAGGTTGACACGCGTCGCAGCGCTCCGGATATGCTATGACTCCCACTCTTTACTGTCACAGCGTGCTCGCGACGTCCTATGATAACACGCGCGCGACTATAAGCGCAATTTAGTTTGTCAATATAAGCACGCTATGCATTTGCTCAAGACCCGTAAGTGGCTTTAGTTAGAATACAAGACGGATTGATGGACGCTGAAGGGAAGGGTAAGGGACAAAACGGATTACAATTTTACAAATTGGTATTGCTGATAGAACTGCGCAAGTTGCGGTCAGATTCGTCAGCGTTCCTATACCGCACACTTATTCTACGAAAAATGTTCGCATGGCTAATGCCCATCACTATTAGATGTTTCCGGTATTCCTCAGACAATCGGTGCCATAGCTTCGGAGGACAGTCGAAATCTGGCAGAGCTGCGGAGGACCCTGACCATTGAGAGCATGGCGAGAGGGCGGTCCCTTTCTGTGACGTCACGGTGACGTCACAAGAAGGCAGATGGGACCCCTCCGGCGGGCTTGCAAATCTCTGCTCCGAAGGTACGCCAAATTTGGGAGAGGTCCGGAGCACAGGTTTGCGCTCCGGAGGTATGCCAGATTTGGGGCACCTCCGGAGCACAAAATGGGAGGGCCCCGGAGCAGAAAATGGGTGGGCTCCGGAGAACAAAATGGGAGATCTCCGGAGCACAAAATGGGAGGTCTACGGAGCACAAAATGGGAGGGCATTGGAGTACAAAATGGGAGGGCTCCGGAGCACAAAATGGGAGGGCTCCGGAGCAGAAAATGGGAGGGCTCCGGAGCACAAAATGGGAGGTCTCCGGAGCACAAAATGGGAGGGCACAGGAGTACAAAATGGGAGGGCTCCGGAGCACAAAATGGGAGGGCACCGGAGTACAAAATGGGAGGGCCCGGAGCACAAAATGGGAGGGCTCCGGAGCAGAAAATGGGAGGGCTCCGGAGCACAAAGGAGGTCTCCGGAACACAAAATCGGAGTCTCCGGAGCACAAAATGGAAGGTCTACGGAGCACAAAATGGGAGGGCTCCGGAGTACAAAATGGGAGGGCTCCGGAGCACGAGTGGCAAACCCCCGCTGGGCAGACCCCGCGGCCCTGCCATTTCTGCTCTGGAGGTATCCCTTCGACTGTCTGAATTCAGACTTAAAGAAAATGGCATCAGTCCTCAGGAGGTAGCCTAAAATATCGAAAGGTCAAGTATTGCTGCGAAAATCGAAGCTTGGTACAATCTTAGGAGTTGATCATGAAAATCTCATTCGTTCAGCGATGTAAATTCTTTATGAACTTGGGGGTGTGAGCGAGATGCCAAAATCTCGAAGTTCGCCCACAAATATCATGTCCATTTTTGGATAACACCCGATGTTGTGAAGCAGCGGTCAGATCTTCTATCCACTAGACCTCAAACAAAACGCTATAATAACAAATGGATATGGAGTTTGTTTTTACAGAAGTGATTCCCAATGCAGGTACAAAGAATTTCGAAGAGTTGCTCTCTCACCATATATACTTGTGGTGACCTCATAACGAAGCCCCTACTACTTTCGAAAATAAATGAGTTGCATAAATGTGAGAACCGTCGGAAATTACCCTTTCGCATGTCCTGGACAAAACTTGGGGTTTTCAATTTTGGGTCATCGTTTTGTGGACGATGCCCCCCCCCCCGTCTCGAAAGAAACAAGTGTTTAGCACATGCGGAGCTGGTCAATCAGCTATCGTCTGTCCCCTAGAATTGTTCCCATAGGTAATTCCACCTAATAAGTGCCTCAATTTGCTGAAGTTAAAGGCAGTGTCCGGGCAGAATCTCTGCTTCCATTTTTTTTTTGCCTTATAGCCTTATATGCCTTGAATGGCGGTGATTCCAAGTATGGCACTCAAAATGTGTAAATTGCTCAAAAAACCCCATTCTTTAGACAATTTCGGGAGAACCGCGGACGAGTGCTCCTAATACCATCGTCGAAAGCAAGCATTAGCAAGTAAACACTATGTGTTGGATTGTGTTTGCCACTTGAAAACACGTCAAAGGCTGAGGAGAGTTCGTTCAAAGGAACGGGCCGTGCGAGGAAGTGGGCGTGGACCTTGAGCCTCGACGTTATCTGCCAATTTTCTCCTTCTACAGGGGGTGTTTAAACTTCGGATTTGCTCGATAGTTCTAGATCGAGGCCCTAGTGCTCGATTATGATAGTATCCAAATTCAAATCTGCCAAGACGTCCAGGCAATGGACCTATGGGGCTCCACGTGGAAAGTAATCTTGAGGCCCTAAATAAGATCTGCCCAAGCGGCAGCTCAGATAGTGCACTCACGGTTAAGATATCGGGCTCCAAACTATGCCCCGTGACCGTATTCGCATGGACTCGTGGCGGTCGCGGGGGGTTCCACGCGAAACTGATATGCCGAGCCACGAATCCATGCGAATATGGTCACAGGGCATAGTTTGGAGCCCTCTTAGACGTGAGTGCACTATCTGAACTGCCGCTCAGGCAGAGTCTTATTTAGGGCCTCAAGATTACTTTCCACGCGAGAGCCCCATAGGTCCAAATTTGCCTGGACCTGCCTTTAACGTGTTAAGACGATCGAAAGGGAGCCATATTGATGGTACCTATGGGGACATTTCTGGGATTAACCATACATCCTTAGACGAGCTTATCTCGCACTTGTGCTTCCTCTACGGTTGCTATCACTTTTTAGCTTCTTAAAGGCAGCGTCCAGGCAGATCTGGACCTATGGGGCTTTTACGTGTAAAGTACTTTTGGGGCCCTAACTAAGGCACTGCCCAAGCGGCAGCTCAGGTAGTGCTCTAATGGCTGAGATATTCCCCTCGAAACTGGCCCCCACGAACGTATTCGCATGGATTCATGGCAGTTTCGCGCCAGGATCCACGCTTTGCGCCATGAATGCATGCGAAACCCGGTCGCGGGGTCCAGTTTCGAGGGGAATATCTCAGCCGTTACAGCACTACATGAGCTGCCGCTTGCGCAATGCCTTAGTTAGGGCCCCAAAAGTACTTTACACGTAAAAGCCCCATAGGTCCAGATCTGCCTGGACGCTGCCTTCAAAGGATTCTATCTCTAGAGGAGGTCGCTTTATGTCCACACATTTGTATCGTCGGCCCCCGATTCGTGTGGAGGCGGGTTGCGAACTTACTGAGTGTAAGGATGAACTTCTGTTACCTCCAAGTTGAAGCTTTGTTCTTCGTACTCCCTCAGTAACTTATAATTAGGGAAAGCCTGAGCCCCCTCCACACAAATCTGGGAGCCGATCATACTTTTTTGTCGAGTTCCTGGTGCGAAGTAAATATATCTTAGGAGAACGTCTATTTTAGGACAGAGAAGCCACTCCGCAAGCAGAGTACACATGCGAGTCCTACAAGGCGACAAGAACCAGACAATGAAACTGGAACCCGGGTAAGAAACCAGCTGAAACGAGCAGAGCGAAACGTTCAATACATCGCCCAAACTTTAACTGAGAGGCGAAAAGCTGAAGAGGTAAGAATGCTCTATCCACTTTTGAAGACATATACAAGTTTTCTGGCGCAGCAGGACATCAAATATTTATCTAGTAAAGAATACCAAGGAACACAAGTGCTTATATGTGACTGCTGAGTTTAATCAAAATTGACTCTCGCTTGATTTGTGACTGAGATTTGAGTCCAAGTGCGCATGTCAAAAGTGAAGTCGGAAAAACCGGAAAACGATTCACTTGCCTCGCGAAAATCTCATTTTCAGAATGAAGCCGACTGGCAGTTCATCTCGATGGTTATCGACAGGATACTGCTTATCATATTTGCGATTTCCATATCAGTTGGAACCCTGCTTACGATCGTATCTGCACCATCTATAACTGACACCAGAGAACCGATCACGACTACATATCACTGACGTATTTATGAATTTACACTGATAAATATAAAAATTCATTAATATGAATTCATAACAACAGTCAAAACAATAGAAGCGATGTCATTGCTTGATGCTTGTGCACGTGATCGGTGTAGAAGGCCAGACGAAGACGAGGTTTGCGAAAGACGGAGCTACAGCACGAGCGGACACCAGACAGTGACTTTACTTCTTTTGTGCTCTTCTCTTTCGCTTCAGACGACGCATACGCTTCTTACGCCACTAAAGATGAATACAATATATAATAAGTGATAGATCATTCTATAATAATCAAAGGAAGAATTAAAATTGAACTGGAGCGACGCTCATCACTTGATTATGCTACACCTTTCAGTACTTACTTGTGACTTTCAACCTCTTGCCCAATAAGATCTTTTTGCAAAGCTGCGTCGTGTGCATACTTCACATGTAATCACAAAATATCAATGCACAATCGCAATCATAATCGTCATCAATATGCTAAAGAATCTCCATACGAAGATTAGAGCTTCAGATCGATCAATTTGTACATCTACAAAAGTGACACTCAAGAGACGCAATTTTTCCGGTGTCAATGCAAAACTCTAATTCAAGTGAGCTACCACCTGTTTAGTTTAAAAGCTTTTGCTTGGAATAACCAAAATATTAATAAAACTTGCTTCTAGCAGCATTTTCGGTTTGCTTCAAACTTTGTTTGAAATCGAATTAAAATGATAACTGCACAACTCTGCAACTATCTGATGTATCCCTTTCAAAATCCTAAATCTTTTACAACATTGAATATGTGCACCTTGACGATCACTAGGGTATAAAAATCGCACCTCTTAACAGTAACCCAACCTAAGCGCAAGAATCACTACCGTGCTAAGATATATGAATGTGGACAGGTGCCATATGACCCAAATGGACCAAGTTTCAGCCGAACGTGAGTCAAGTTCGACCTTCTATCGTTTAGCCAGCGTAACCAGACAAATTGACGTTTTTGTGATGTCAGACAACCTAAACAATCAGGCGAGATCCATGACTCCTGAATTTTGGGACCTAGATAGCCTAAAGAGCCGTACATCCTTCATGATAAGCGGGTTTGGGAGCTATTCAGACCCTTAAATGTCGTCTTTACTTATCCAAATGTTTCTTACTTGAAATGGAACTGGTTCGTACTCAACTCACGGTTTGTAAGAGCGGCTTTATTTCGAATCGTGAGATTCATGAAAAATTTGATGTCTAAAACATAGCAGTACTTTAAACTTTAGAATAATCCTAGAAAGGTCCGGTACTTCATAAACACCTAGAAACCGAAGGAAGATTGCCATGTATTGTAACTTCCCGATACAGCATGTTTCCGGGTGAGATGACTTCGCTGTCATGATAGCTCATAAACTATTTTCACTCCAGCATTCGATAGCTCATGACTAGCACAACTAATACTCAGATAAAGACATTCTTTACGCTGCCTTCATTAACGAAAAACTGGAAGTCCAGAAAAAAAAGATAATGAGAAATCTTACCTTTTCTCTCATGATTTCGTTCGATGTACCTCGCAGGAATGAAACCGCAAAGTACCTGAAAGCAGATACTTAGCCTGCAGTAGTGCAAAAAAGGCAAAGATTAGCCGTGAACCCCACTACTGTTGAACACACGAACCCAATAATCCAACATCTTTCAAATTGGCAACACAAAAGCTTTTGAGGAAATTGGCAGTAATCCCAACAATACACTTGATACTGACACGCTAATTAGACCATCCTCAAAGAAGCTAACAAGCCCAAACTCAACTTATTCACACCCACCTAACAGGAGAAATAAAAAATTGCGGACAATTTGGGTCACAAGGCTGGCGCTATTTCGAATATTCGTGTGGCGTGCATCGATACGCAGACGCTGCAACGCTGCGGCGCATTCAAAAGCTGGACCGTTGCCAGTTTTTTTTTTTTCGGAGTGACCCGCACCATTGCACCGCTGTCACCGATATCGAACGTTCCCGTTTGTACGTCGCATGCTTCATTTGGGGGATTCAGCATACTCTCGCTCTGTGTGTCGTTGTTGTCCATTTTTGAAAGCGTTTGGAGTTCAGACTGTGCATTTTTGAGCATGTTTTGAGGGCGGAGATGTCCATGATTGTGTTCTGCAGCATATTCTTCTCATCAATGCAGTGATTCATCGTCTGGATGCAAGTTTAGCCTGGACGTTGTAGATGTTATTTACTGCTTCAAAAAGTGCACAAGCACTACTCCTTTTTTCCATAAAAAGGCCAAGTGCTAAAGCGAAAATGTGCAGGAGTTGCAGTACTCGACTTTTTTTGAATGTGTTCCCTCTTTCTTTGCAAGTTCACTTAAAAAAGCTGCAGTTCTACTCCGATTACTGCATATATAAGAGACTATAAAAATTCACAGATTCACAGGAATACTCGAAAGTACAAAGGGATCTACATAACACATGTTTTCGATAATAATGTGTGTCTAGATAGGTAAGTCGATAAAATGTGTGCGAAATATGTTGCGATGTGTCGAATTTTAGATAGAAAAGTTGTCGTCGATGTCAAATTGATTGAAATGCATTAGCAGAAAAAAATTATGTCCCAGATCATTATTGCACATATTTCAGTGCGAGAACGCTCTTTAAGTGGTCGTTTTCAACTGATACTGATAATATGAATTAGCTTGTTTCCATATGTATACAGTCGCTTCTTTTCATATGATCATGTGTGTCATTGCACACACAGTTCACCTTTGGCGTCCCCATCCTGGATTCGTGGGAGAAACAAGCCTTTAGGTAAGTGTTTCCAAGGTGTTCTTAGCATTTTCTTTCTTTTTTAGTTACTAGTCACCTCAAATTTATGTAATCGATAACAATCGGTAAATCTCTTGCGTTTTTGCGATTGCAAATCCAGGATGAGGACGCCAAAGTGGACTGTGTGTGCAATGGCATGATCATATGAAATGAAGCGACTGTACCTAGTATTATGAGCACTTAAAGTACATTCTTGACGTTATTCATCAGATTTGGTTAGTGATTTGCTAGTAGTTTGAGATTTTTCTCATATAATGCTTGAGGTACTTGTTAGGTTAGCACATGCTGCAAGAAATAATGCGGCAGAGAGTATTCATGATAAATACTTATTCCTGTATACAATCACGAAAATGCAATCTTTAACCACTTCAAGTGAGCACAGTCATCCGTCCGAATATTGTATTCGTTTTTGCTCTGAAGCCTTGTTGTAGGTCTGAAGTGGAATTGCATATACAAACATATACATTGAGATATCGTAAGGAAGGGATGTGAGACTTTTGATGAGCATGTCGAACAACACCCTCTGTATAAGATTAGTGTGCGCATACCGTACACCTACCGCTCCACAGTGGTCATATCAAGCTAAGAATCTTTGAATTAACCGGTTAGCGCCTGGAAAGCGGGGGCTTCTTGACCTAACTAAGGCTGGATAATGATCAGAGAGCACTCGCGCGAGAGAGGAGCAGACTGCGTCGCTGGCGCGAGCGGCCTAAATTAGGTCACGAAGCCCCGCCTTCCAGCCGTTAAGCCAGTTGAATCAAAGGTTACCATATCATGTCAAACGCTTAAAGTAACTGCGAACTGTATGATTTTGCAATCTGGGTTATATTAAGCGTAATAGCTTTGGTAGAGTAGTTTTGAATCCCTAGCAACCATTGAATTGTTTTTTCGTTATCATAAAATTATTTACTCTGTGTTTTGAACCACCTTTATGTTGACAAATTAGTGGTATTTCTGAACTAATTTGGAGAAAAAATTCTTTATTCATCGCGTATAGGTTTCGCTTCGACATCTATGTTTTGCACTTCCAAGGAAAAACGCTTGGAAACTTCTTTCATTTCATTGAAACAGAGATAATTGGTCGGGTGATATCATTTTAGTGTGACGAATACTCTCTAATACATGGTTTCGTTTCGGCATCCCAAAAATTTCATTTCCAGTGTTATTTTTTGGGGAATGGCTTATATTTGAATGAATTATTTTAACCTTAATGCTTTACATAAGACTGTACCCTTGAGACCCCATAATATCTTAGCTGTGGGCTGTTTTTCTATCATGAGTTAGGCAGGCATGACTTTTCCTGAATTGTTTGGAAGGAGCCTTTTTGAATGGAGCATATCTTCCCGCAGTGCAAGGATGTCTTATATGAATCTTTTAAATGGCCATAAAATACAGTTTGTGGTCGCTTTTTACAACATCTGGATATTGTCTTCTACTTCCAGCACGATGTGGTTGCATTTCTCATCCAAGTTAATCCTATCGCAAAACGTCCCCAGACAGTTCGTGTTTCGATCCTATCTTCCTCCACTCACGTCTGTTTCTACTGTGTTCGGAAGCTTTGCACACGAAATGCTTATGTTCCAGATCATGTCCGGCTGGGATGCCTACATCACCACTATGACGGACGCGTCGCCGGCGATTAAACGTGCCGCTATCGTAGGAAGTGCTGACGGTTCAGTATGGGCTCGTACTCAAAATGGAAATACATTCGCCGCGACGGACGCTGAACTGAAAAAATTCGTTTCGTTATTCGATAACCTAGCCGATGTCCCAGCACATGGCGTAGATCTCGAAGAAGTCCACTACATTGTGCCTCGCACCGAAGAAAATCTCATCTTCGGTAAAAAGGACAAGAGCGGCTTTTTTGCTGCCAAGACAAAATCCGCTGTGCTAATTGCTGTTTACGAGGGCGAGAACCAGGTATCTGCACAAGTTCGCACTTCCGTGGAGAAGTTGGCCAAGTATCTAGAGGAGATTGGCTACTAGGCTACTCCGTAATGGTGAGTACTTTGTGATGGATATAATTCATTTTTCATTTTTTTTCGCAAAATGCCCGCATCTAGACGCACGATGCTGGCTTGCAAATAATGCCCTAGTCTATTTCGGTACAAATTTGTTTATGCCATGAAGAGGGTAAAAATTACGACCTTTTTGTACTTAACGAGTTTTGCGCGCTACGCACTAACTTCCAAGATAAATTTGAGTGAGTTCATCTTCTTTATGGCTGCCATTTGGTTCGTTTGATGGGGCAAGTAGCTCGATTTTTGTTATGTTTACGCGCGCCAATCACCTAGTTTCCTGTCTCATGGTATGGCGAAACGGGCTAACTCTGGTCCTACTGCATAGAAGGGAAGGGCTTGCGCGTGCGCGTTCGTTTCATGTTTGCCTAAGTATATACAGTCTCTCCCCATCAGGATCACCAGAAGTTGATTTGAGGTGCTGCTCGAATCGCTTGGGGTTTGCGCTGCATGTTTGCACGGATGCAGTGTGCCGGAGAAATCGAAGAGAACGGGGAGAGAACGACTGGTTATGTCTTGACAGCAAACATAAGCACGCGCCATAATAACTCACTTGATCCTCTTGTTCCACTTCACTATTAGTCGCTTTACCGCTTCAACCAATAGCGAAGTGGATGAAGAGGATCAACTGGATCAAGTATGGCGTGTGCCATAGATGTGACGCATACCCCAGCGGTACGGACTTTCATCATGCTAGTTTTGGCCTGATCCAGATTGAACAGACTGTATAATGAATAAGTATCTCAATAAGTTCCTGCTTGCGCATGATATCTCTAGGCACGCCTCGAGTATAGATTTTAATTTACGGGCGAAAGTTTTTTCTCTCGCGGTGATCTCGCAAGGTTTACTGCCGAACGAATGCATACTCACGGGCGCGAGCGAGCTCTATTACCTGTAAAAAGGGGCAAGGTTTATAACCATGTAGTGCCCGCGGGCCTCCTAGCGACCGCTTAGCTAAAGTTGTCATTGCTCCTTCGTTTGCCAGTAGACTTTATTGTGGGTGATTACATCACACGATAACTTTCAGATCTGCCTTGGTGGCTAAAGGCCCCGTTCATCATGCGTGTTGTCTTCAAAAATTCCTTCTGCTTCATTCACCGAGTCCATTCCTTACAAACGACGGTAATACTAGGTCAAATGCGGCTCATTGCGTCTTCCTCGTTGTTGTTTGTGTTTTTACAATATGTATGTGACCACATGTTTAATTATTCTACTGAATGGTAGTCTTCGTTTCTGGTGCGATTTCCGGTGTTCTTATTGCAAAGACGTGGTGATTGCGGTTTTCCATAAATAATTCATGCCTTTACAAATAGTGAATACTACATCTAAAGTTTGCCGGAGGATGTGTCCTATTTATGTACAGGAAGATACCGTATTTTCTGTTTAGAATGCTAGAGCGGCAGCAGAATTAGCGAACTACGCTTATCCTGCAACCTTGGATTGGGGCCGTCTTGCGTAATTCTCAGTAATATCGCTTTCACATGCCCGAAAAGTCGGAATCTTATATTTTTATTCAAAGAGAACCTACCAGATCCCAAACTCGTTCACGCGTATACATTCCCCATAAGACATTCATATATGCCGTTCTATGCTACAAATCGAGTTAACTAAAATTTTCAAGCTTCGAGGAAACGATGCTGTGTTTTTCCCACACAGGTAAATGTATACTGCGAGCCTGCAGAATTATTACAAACATATTTCCAGCTCGAGTGCTGGAAATCTGTGGTTGTACTTCTGAAGGCTTGTAGTATACATTACCTACGTGGAAAAAACACATCGCTTTTTCAAAAGCCTGGAAATTTTAGTTCTCTCGGTTTGTAGCACAAACAAATACCTCAACCGCATATGTAATGTCTTATGTGAAATGTATATGCGTGACCGAGTTTGACTGGAAAGTTTCCCTGAGACGGAGATATGAAAGCTTTTCGATTTTCGGGCATTTTCAGATTTCGGATTCTAAGTCGTGGTGTGCTGAAGCTGGTGCGAATATTTATATGCCATCTTATAGAGCTTGCTTTGCTCTTCGAGTGGACCCTGCTTCCTAATCAGAAAAGTCAGAACTGAAAAAAAAAACCTATGAGATAACCTAATACAAAGGCAGGTCGCAAACATCTAACAACTGATGCTTGAACTATATAGAATGAAGTATTGAAAAAGTTGCTTGCATCCACATGGGGAGGCAGATCCATGATGGAGTTTGGTATGTACGGGTCCTAATAATATATACCAACCAACAAATGCTCAAATCACAAATCGTTTTTTTTTTTTGTTCAAAATCGTGATTTATTTGGTGTTTCATTTTAATACGAGCTTCAACTTCAAGCCTGAATTTTCGAAGGTAGTTTTGCATTTCTACTAAGTACACTTCACTAATGCTCGTTCTAAATCAAGGCAATCGCAGGAATCACAGGATTAGTATGGCCAGTTCCAGAGACACCACTGCGAACACCTTCGTCGTCTCTTACATCAAACGCCCTCTCATTCCTCTTACCTATGCTGTCTCGCCCAAACACGAAACTTGATTGGACACAGCGGCGTTTCTGCGTGCGATGAATGGGCTATACGCATATGAAGCATGTATTTGTATGTATGTTTATACTGCACTTAGAAAATTGCAAGTGAATAGCCTTCCGACACGATACGGATCACAGTGGAGAAGATCGTTTCGCATCAGGAAAAAAGTAGAACTGCTTGATGAGTCTCGAATGGAACTCTGGCATCTGAAACAAACGTATTGATCTTTGTGGAACCGTTAAGAGCTATACATGTCTACAGTGTTCAGGAAACGTTTCCTTAGCTGAAACAGCATAGTTCTTAAAGGTAGCTGCTCGGCAGAAGAACTTTGGGATAATCATCGTTCTCAGTTCCTCTGGATGAGCCAAGTCCAAGACTGTGCTATGCAGCTTCAAGATGTCAATAACCGGCTTTTCCAGACGTGAAATGCCCTACTTGGGCGGACGGCGCATGCCTGCCCTCTGAAGAGCATTGGTTCGTGAGTAGTCACCGTATCTATCTCGCGATTGGATTATTGGCTTCAGCAGCCACTTTCGCGACCCGCCCAAACAGCACTTCTCACGTTCGGGAAAGCGAGTTATTGATATCTTTGAAAGTGCAAAGCACAGTTTCAGGCTCAGCTCATCCAATGGAGTCAGAACGATGTTAATCCCACAGTTGTTATTCTGCCGAGCCGCTGCCTCTAAGAACAAAATGGCCAATGCTTATGATTAGTGGTGACGAAGAAGTTGCGAAGCATACAAAAATATATCGTCCTTCTCGCTGACGATGTTGAGAAAGGAACCATGCTCGAATTTTTTTTTCAAAAATTGGGTAACTAATCCTGCCGCCGAGCCGAGACGACCCCCAATATGGATGTCGATATATGTTGGCAACATGCAACAAATGTTGCGCTGGGGCTGATTGCCAATATGTTGTCATGTTGCAAACAAGTTGTTGCACGTTGGCTAATATGTTGGCCAACATGTTAGCCATACGTGCCGCAGGTCGAGCAGACCAAGGGTAGCAGCAACTGTGGAAGGGAAGAAATGGAAAAGAAAAAAAATATTTTCAGCCGAGCTATCAAAAATTTGGCCAGAATTTGCACATGTGCTGCTTTATCCATGGTTTCACATGAGATGGCGTACGCGCACTGGGAACGACTCACCTGTCTGTATGAAGAAGAGCAATTCGTTTGAAAGCATTCCGCGACTCTTTGATTTACTCTTGTTAGTAGCTGCAGAATATCCATATCATGCGCATGCTTAGCAAACACCTGAAAGTAATTTCACTATAGCAAGAAGGAAAATGAATTTTGCTTGCTGCACCTCACAGATCGCTTGCACAAACCAACTGCCTCGAACGCTATTACGCCATGAAACATACGTTGGCGGAGTAGCGTATGCTATCAGAAAATCAGATTCACGCGGTCTCAACACTGTTTTCTAAAAATTAAAATGATGAACCGTGCTTATCTCAGCTACATACAATACCGCTCGTAATTTCCGCAAAAAAGACGAGACAGTCACCTGAGCAGGTGATATCACCGTGGCGTAGCCAAATTTCGCTTCAGAATGGACGAAATCCGAATTCAATGGCACATTCAAATCAGCTCGACGGGGCGCACCTTCTGATAAATAGCGGTGGCTGTTTGGGTGCGGTATTTGCAATTAGAGTTCAAGAATGAATACGATTTTCGCTACAGTAGATTCGTGATGCAATGATTGCGCATCCTGAGTTGACGTAAGCAAAAATTTGAAGAGATTTGCGAAATCTGCCTACCTAACGCGCGCCTACCGCAACCAATCAGGCGCCTATGTATAGTCGAAGAGCGCCTCATCGAGATGAATCGAATGGTGCCCTTGGATTCAGAATTCGTCCACTCTGAAGCGAGATATGGCGATGTGACGCGGATTTCAGTGAACTCCGGTGGTGTTCGGTGCTTTCTTGACGAATTATGAGCGGTATTGCAGATCGTTTTATATTGACTCACTGCGATAACAGCCGGTCTTTGGATGCATTTAGAAAATCCAAATAATCCATCAGTATTATGGTGTGCTGTATCAACCTGATCCACATGCGCTATACCAGTATCGCGTCGATCTGAAGGATACTGGTGGTAAGTGAGAATGGCAAAGCGCTTCTAAAACGGCGTACAGGAATGAAAGAACTGTCAAATCTTCCTTTCTCTGAGTCGAGTACATGCGCGTAAAATCGTGATCAATTATGTGAAAAGATATAAAAACCGGCAGAAGTCTGAGAAGCTTTGCAAAACTTTACCAAATAAACTAGCTTTTGTCACACCCAATCAATCGCGAGAACTCTCTCTCTCTTCACTTTTGAATTTTTTTAGAGAAATTAATAATTTTGCTGACCAAAGATAAAAAGTTAACCTCCTCTGCATGCCTGTATAAAAAGCAGTTTCGGTTTCCCTGACAGCAAGGGAGCATTCCGTGCGTTCAAAGCTTCCAGTACAGGATATATTGACAATATATCATCATCACCGCCAACACCTGCAAAGGTTACAAGAAACAAATAGATTAGTGTTAAAAAAGGCTAGTGACATAAGACACACAAACTAGTGCGAGTATAAGTTTCAGAGCATGTAGCGTTTATGAAATCAACAAATATGGCTGTCACGTCCCGCTTCAAACCCTTCCAAATAAATCATTGCCGCCAGCATTCGTTCTGCTGTTTGCAGGGGATGATGCATACAAGAGGCGATCCCGGGATTTCCGTTTCAAGGGGAGGGGTATTTTTTGCGAATAAACGTGCGTGGCGCTAGCCAGCCAAGAGAGCTCTACAAGAGAACCCCTATTTGCAATGTTTTATCTACGTAAAAAAGTCTGTGATGAATTATGATCACTGGGATGAACGCCGTGATGTAACCGCTCAGACGTGAACCTCCTTGGACACTTCTCTACGCAGATGATGTGGTCTTGATAGCAAGTACCAGAAAGGAGCTACAAGACAAGGTACAAAACTGGAAGAACAGGCTAGAGTTGTATGGCCTGAAGCTGAACACCAGGAAGACAGAATATATGGAAATAGGGAAGCAAACTCCTGGTACCATAAGCATCGATGGTGAAGAGCTAAAGAAGACAATGTCATGCAAGTACCTAGGCAGTCACATCTCAGCGGAGGGAGGCTTACAAGAGGAGGTCGCAGGCAGGATGAACACAGCATGCATGAAATGGAGAGCCTTAACAGGAGTTCTGTGCGACAGAAGAATGCCAGTGCAGCTCAAGTCCCAACTGTACCGGACCGTTATCCGCCCAGCAGCACTGTATGGCAGTGAGTGCTGGCCATGTACGCGGTGTGAGGAACGCAAGCTCAATGTCATGGAAACAAGGATGCTACGATGGACCTTAGGTGTCACACTGAAGGATCACATCTGCAACGACACTATACGAGCTAAAATGAAAGTCGCTCCAATTGCCCAGAAGATGCAAGAAAAGAGGCTACGATGGTATGGGCATGTGCGCAGAAGGGATGAAGGTCACACACAAGGTTAGCATTGGCGGTGGAAGCACCAGGCAAAAGACCCAGAGGTAGACCCAAGATGAGGTGGATGGACAGAGTCAAGGCCGATCTGCGAGAACTTGGTATAGACGAAGACCTTGCCTTAGATATGGAGACATCTGATGAGAAAAGCAGATCCTGCATAAGCGGGACACATGCGAGGACTAAAAAAAATCTACGTAAAAAAGTCTCCGTGCGAAAAAAATTTATTACAGCCTATCTCTTGGTCGTCATCTAGCAAACAGAAACCAAAATGTATGAATGCGCTTGCTGGTTCTAATCTTTAGCGGCTGAATGTTGACAAAAAATAGGCCGTAATTACAAGAATATCACTTTTTTGTTGTTGTTTTTTTTCTAATTTCGAATCGAGGCACATGTGACAACAAATCACAATTGCTTTCGCTGGAGCATGCCGATTTTCTCTCTGGTAGGCATTATAAAACTCTGACAGTTCATATACAGGCGTAAATAATGCTTTCTCTCATTTCTCCATATCTTCCCCCAGGCACATTCCACCAAAATGAAGCTAATAAATAATTTGGTCGCTTATGGCTTCCACAAATGCTGCAGGCAAACTTTTGTCCACTATTGGTATCTCTGAAAAGAGCACATCGATGAGAATTACAATGTGAATCTTGTTTCATTAGAGTCTATTGACAGAAAAGGAGAAAGGAAGTGAGATACACCAATTTTTTCATTGTGCACAAATGTCAGAAAATCTTGTTCTTTTTTCACCAAAGAATTTTAAAATGGCAGATTACACTAATCGTTATTCGCTGATTAGATAGAACTTGTTGCTCATCTCTACATCCATCACAGCATGAAAGCGAAGCTTAGGAAATCAATGAGACCTCATTTAGCTATACTGGGGCATAAATGTCTTTTACTGATAGTAGAAATTTTGAGTAGCTGATAGGTATAGTCATGGCAGTCGCAGAAATTTAGTCAGGGGAGGGAGAAGAAGCGACGAGAATTTTTTTCGGATGAAGGTAACCGAAAAATTTTCTGGGGTGTGCTTCCAAAATTTTTGCCGCCCTACAATCTAAGATTTTAGAAGAAGGCGACAAGGTTGATGACTTTTTGAAAAGTTCAAAAAATATTTCAATTATTTGCAAATGTAAACAAGTTACTTTAACATTTTTATAGTAGAATCTTTGGACTACTTCCTCAAAAAACCTACATGCCAAAACGGAATTATTTTTTAGCGAACCTCACACTCACCAAGCAGATGATCTTTTTCTCCATGGGTGAGTATGATCAAAATCGCTGATGACGAGAAACGGTGTCCTGTATCTTTTGCAAAAGTCCTAACTCGTATAAGCATCTCCTGCAACACATCTCTGCATGCAAAGTTAGATACTATTGCCAGCTTCAAAGGCTATCAACTAACCTTACTCGTGAGATCATTCTCCACTATTACTTTGTAGTCTAACTGTCCGAATAGATTCTTAAGATTCACGCAATCAATCTCTGTGCCTAGTCGACGTGGCATCGAAGCGAACTTCTCATTGTTGATGATGAGGCAAAGACCTTTGGGAGTGGCAAAGTTTGGGTATATCTGGAGAACGGAAATATCGGTTTCATATCATCACCGAGTCTGTTACGGACCAGATCACGATTTTTCATATACATCTCCATTTGTGGGCACGACTTGCTGTCAACGAAATCTACACTGAGATCATCGAATATACCGGCTGATTGCAGTGGAGGCAGATAAAAAGGCGGCGTTCCTGAAGTACATAACTTAGTGAGATCAATTCGCACATTCCAACTTACCAACACTATCCACTTTGGTGGAAGAAAATCGAAATGCTAGAGCAGCGCCGTTTAGAGGCTCATTCTCGCTGCAAGAAGATAAGGTAGTCGTTTTATGTGGGTTCCTTTTTCTCTTTGTACTCGTTTAAGAGAGACAACTGCTAGTTTATTCTATTATTGTTGCTCATGAATGCTTCACAAGGGAGATGGTGTTCATGGTTTATTTATTGTCAGCGCAGTGCATCACTGCTAGTAAACAACAAAAAAGCAAAACTATGATCGCGCGGACTAAGTAAACAGAGATTTCGAAATCTCAAATGATTTGGAAAGCAGCCAGATCCCGACTTGTGACCGCGAAAGCGAATATATAGTACTTGTACAGTACCACTTATAATCTGCGGGAAAAATCACCGCACTCCGCCGGAGTTCGTTGAACTTCGCGTCGCATCGCCATATCTTGTTTCAGAGTGGAAGAATCCTAATTCAACAAGCACAATTCAACTCAGCTTGACGAGATGCATTTTCTGGTTTATGGAAGTGTCTTTTGAAACATGGAAGTCGGTCAAATCTCACGGGTTCTTCAGGTTTTTGCTTACGGTGTGTAGGTACTCAAAGCCTTACTGATTGCACAACGAGTAACCTATCCCAAGCTAAAAAGACCCGTGTGATTTAGCCGACCGTGCCCAAATGGGCAATTCTGTACAACAGAGGATGCACTTCTTCGAACTGTCTAAATTAGTGATTTCGAATTCAGAATTTATCCACTCTTGAGCAAAATATGGTGATGCGACGCAAAGTTAGGCGAACTCCTGCGAAGCGCGGTGAATTTTTCACAAACCGCCCTACCGTATACAGCGCATCAAATACCAAGACTTGGCACAGGGCCCGGCACGAGGTCGGCAAATGACAAGCTGGAAATCGTTTTGGGGCCAAAAAGCAAAGGGGAAATCGTTTTTGGGGGGTCCGGGGCGGAGCCCCGGAAAAAAATTGGTAGTTCATGCTCGCTACTTATCTTGACATGTTATGTGCCTCAACAGGCGAACACTGGAATTGCGCGCGTCAAACCGCGCCGTCGCTAATTGCCGCACGCGCGACGTCGCCCAAGCGATGCTATTTGTAACAGCATACATGACTAGTTCTCAATGTATGTGTAACGATATGACACCAAATTTTGTATGCGAACGGAGAGAGGCTAGTGGAAACATAGTATGAAAAATTATGAAAAACTTATGTGAACGGAACGAGTAATTAGCATTTCTTCCGAGAATATCGCAAAACTGGTAAATGAAGATGTGAATTCAAACGGCTCGTTTAAACGCGCAGATGAACGATATGGTATGAAACTTGGTAAGTACATGCACACGGGCTTGCAGGGCTTAACTGAGGAGTTTCATTGAAAAATTATGTGACTGAAGGTTGTGGCAAACTTTTTTCTGAAAATTTTGCGCTACCAAAGAAATGGAAAAATGGCTCGTTTGCAACGCAGAGGTAACGAAATCGCGCGGGATTCGGTGTGTATATGCGCAATAGGACTAAGTAATGAAGTATGAAATATTATGAAAAACTTATGTAAATGAAGAGCGTGCTTAACTAATTTCCAAATTAGGTCGGCATTTGCCGACCTAATTCCCACCTGAGGTCGGCAAAACTCTCAATTCACATAATTTTTTCAAAATTTTTACATAAATCTGTTGTACACCCAAAGTTTACTACATGGTGAAATTTTGGTTCCAAAACTCCTCCTCTTGTCCTTGTTAGAGCCCAAAATCGCATCAGCAGCCTAGCTTTCTAAGATGGAAAGCGCGCCCCAGTCAATCGATACGCGCGGGAACGGCGTCTCTCATTCCTATGACTGCGTTTCTTTAATATTTCCTCATTTTTTAATCATTTTTCTTGCTTATTTTTCTTTCTGTTTCCTATCTTGATACAGCTGAGGAGTAATTTGAGAAATTTGAGCAATTTGGGCGCTTTTGAGCGCTTTTAGGCGAAGTGTGGCCGGTAATCTCGTCGCACAAGCACAAAACGTCATTTTTGGGCTCAAGGGGGTATTCGTAAAATTTATTGGGATCAAAAAGGAATTCGTTTTGGAAAACCCCGTTTGCCCACCTCGTGCCGGGCCCTGACTTGGCACCTTGCGCAAGACCAAATGACAATGTTTTGAACGGCAAAAAATACAGAAGAAATAGGTACAGAGATAATCTTATAAAGATTTGATATACATGAGTGCAGAAACGAAAGAGCCTCATCAAGACGTAGCGGCACCTGAAAGAATGTCTATTTATCAGAACTTCACAGCACATTGACTCATTCCGTAAGTGTACGGTAAGAGTTGGTTTCGCGCACGAAAAACTGAAAATATTGAACTCTTGCAAAGGGCGGCTCATGTTATCGCCAAATCCTCACGCCGATCACCGTCTCGCCTCATGCAAATCAAGGACGTCAACGAGATTTCGTAACTGCATAAGAAAACACCCAAAGCTGTTCAAAAACTTCTTCACACAAATCTATCCGATTTTCATCAAATTAAGGTAGGCTCACTAATGAGGAGTTGAGACCCATTCTCTTCGGTCGAATCTGCTCTTTGACACCGAATAGTGGCGGAATCCTCTTTCAGATCTTCACTATTATATTTTACTCAATCCCTCATTCTCTCTTTCTGAATTCTTCATTTCTCGGTCTTGTCACTCGAGGCTGGTCTTGCAGCCACCGCAAGCTGGTACTAGCAAGTGTGAAAATTCTTTTTCTGTCAAAAACGCGATCTAGTAAGACCTTATTCGAGTTCTACATTTACAGTTCTACACTCGATGATGGTTTTGGTTTTGTGACCTACGCTTGCTATGTACAACTTAAATATTTTTAAAAAATTGTATGTGCTGAAGCAATGTACAAGCATCTTTCACCCGAATTTTTTTTTAGCTCCCGCGCCTATACGGGTTGTAACCTGAGCAGGTACACTTCTTGTACCGGAAATTGATAACACTGCCTTTGGGGCGGTATATATCCATCTTCTGTTTAAGTAGGTGCTTGGATATGCCAGTAAACCAAAAAATTCATTCACCAATCAACGACGAAGACTCGATGATGGTTTTGTTACAAGAGATGTTTAATCTTTGATTTGATTTGGGACTCAGAGCAGGGCTGACATGAGTCCGTTTCTAGGCTTTATGAAAACAAAGTCTTCCCCTGATCTTCGATAATTTTACGAAGTACCCTTTGATCCTTGCTGACCCCCCTCCCAAACCCTCAGAGCGTCAGCGGAAAATTTCCGGTTCAAGTTAGAGAAATTGAAAGCAAACAATTTCACAACAATTTCTTTATCAACTTCAAAAGCAAAAGTTTTCAAAGCTCTTACAATAACAAAATCAACATACAAAAAACATACAAGTCCCCCCCCCCTCTTCCAATCACCTTAACCCCTTCATGGGGTTTGTCCCCCTTTCTACAAACAACCTGCTTATTCTTACAAATGAGCAGGTTGCCTGTAAAAAGGAGGGACAAACCCCATGAAGGGGTTGAGGTGGTTGAGCTCAGGCAAGGGTGCCATGTGGGATGCACCCCCGCCTGAGGTCAGCATAGGGTACATCGTAGTATAGCTGAAAGCTCCCAGCGCCCGCGGTAACAGCCACCAACGTCCCCGATGGTGGCTGGTGGCCGCCCATCGGTGAGCGGCTCATGTGATGTCGTGGTCCCCTGCACTAGCTGTAGGAACCCACACTTTTTTCAGACCTAGAATGTATGCATTAGGTAAAAATTTGTAATTTGTGAACTTAACAAAGAGGAAAAGGTTTATTGCCGGGACGACGCAGTTATTTGTACCCGAGTGGGTCCTTGACAGTACTTTCCGTAGTCCTTTTACTTTCTGAAAATGAAACTTTTGGCTGGTTGAATTTTGAGATGACTTACCATGTTGATTGGCCTGTCATCATCTGTGGGAACGTGACCGGCTGATGCTGCAGGAAATATCCATATAAGGCGACTCAAGAGTATTATCGAGTAGTTGCAGTTATAGTTGCAGTTGTCATCGAGCATATTGCTGCTCGGATGTTTCATGTGGAAAAATACTTCTAAACTTCAATCCATACTGCTGGTCTTCAGTTACCACAATAGTATGCTGCTCACTAATATATTTTGCTCTTCACCATCTTATACGTCATTCGCGATGGTTTCAGAGCCACTTGCAAAAGCTTCAGGTTCTACACCGTCGTCAACCCAATATTGCATTTAGCCGTGGACAGCAGCGATATATTCCTCTATCTAAAAGCTGTGATGGAAACTCAAGTGGCGCAAAAGAGAAAAATCACCTCTCCTTTTCGACTCGGTAGAGAAAGTAGAAGAATCAAAGAAGGAAAACACAGTGAAATTAAGATACGAATTCTTACCATGAAAGCAGACTGCGCGTAAATCTGTCCTCATTTTGTTCATCCTTCATCTGTTCCTCAAGCACATGGTTGAGTGGGTCTGGAACTTGCTTAAATTGAACAAATTTCGGTTAATATCGCAGAATGACTTGAGTAGAAAAGTATACATTTTTGATTATGAGAATTGTCTTTTCTTATTGTAAACCTCGGTGCACGGACTAGGTTAATTATATTGCACATCCCCAAACCAATTAGTTTTGAAAGTCTCAGAATTGGCATGTCGTTCTCTACAACTGTTTCACTCAGGATACTACTCATACAAGCACCTAAACATTTCTCTGCTCATTCTTGCCTTTTAGTGATCATCAGCACATAAATATATCCCTAAATCGAAATATAGCAAGTTGCAACCAATCTCAATAAAATATTAGCGGAGCCTGTTGAGTGTAATGACCACAGCAATCCTAGCTCTCTTGCTCTGCCTTCAAAGAAAGTGCGAAATCGCAGTCCATCAAAATGGTAAAAGAGCAAATTGTCCGGTCAACATTGACATCACGATGCTTCTCTTCTACTTTTACGCATGGCGTTTGCCCATCTGTTCCAATGCGTAAAAGTAGAATATGTACAAGCAGGTGGAGCAATTCCCAATTTTACATATTTTCAAGTCATTAGTAGATGATTTTTCAATATTTCGTCACAATGTGGGTACAAGTGTCTGTATGCTATTCTAAAAGCAAAAGAGTAAATCCACCTTGAGATGAGAGCTACGAGTACTAGTAGAGCCGTGATATTAGCGACCAACCTCATGTGTAGGAGGATGAGGAAGGTGGGCTGGTGCAGACGTTACAGTGCCACTTTGGTTTCTTGTCAATACCCAGAACAGAGAATTCAGCACCAGCCACCGTCTCTTCTCTTCTGCAACAAAAACTTTTGAAAAATCAAGGCTGAGTTTAAAAATCGAGTGAGATCAACGAAAGAAAACATAAGAAGTCATTATAAACCTATGATCAGAGGTGTTAGCTTTCCAGATTCCTTCACAACAATCCGTGCTCATCTTTAAGATTTTCTAGTTGTCCCTGAATAAAGTAGTCTGCTATTTTATGGGTCTACAGATGAAGCAGAATTTCTTTCTCACCTAGCATCATCTGCTGCAGGTTGCAGTGGTATGAGATGAAGAAGAAGGTGCTCCAAATTCTGGGAAAAGCCGGTTTTTCGCTGTTCTTTTGCGACACTAAAGAGTCATCTATCTAAATGACCTACAAAAAAGGTTTGAAGAGCAATTACTATCTGGTTGCTGTTTCTCAATCACGCAAAGAGTAGCGTCCTCATCAACGTATACTTCAGATGCCTCGATAGCTGAATGCTGCACCGGCAAGGTTGTATTATTTGTGATGTCAGGCCAGTTACCTGGAGACACTATGCTTCAAAAAGAATAAGCAGAGTGGCTAAATCACCTTTGCTGAGCACAACAGTGTCCGAAAACATGGCTTTCATGTCATTATACGCCTTCTCAATGAATGATGAGGTATGAGGTAAACTTTAGGCAGGTACATAAAGTGCCTAAGAAACCCGATTAAAGATCGGGGATGGTCTTCTCCACTTAGCTTCGGGAAGCACTTAGGGCAGCCAAGTGCCGTCATCTTCGCAAGATGACTAAGCTTCTGCGGGAATAGCGTATATTCTTTCCAGTCTCCGTGATGTCAACCATCACTGCTATTCTTCAACGCTTGACATCTTCTTTTCGCTTCTCTGGATTAGTTCGTAAGTGCAAACGTGAGTCGGTAGTTACCTATGACTTGAGCTCCTCCACGTTAGTGAGTCAGCTCCAGATTTTCCTGTGAAAGACATTTTCTCATACTCCTTGGATTGTGTTCAGCAATCGTGGAGATGCTGGACGAACCGTTCGTAGTCATCTTCGATGTTGTCACACGATATCTCGCCAAAAGCCAGACATCGACGAAAACGATTCTCGTAAATAGTCGTATGACGTCTTCTATACTTAACGGCTTTTTCCATTTTGTTAAAAGTAGAACTCGGCATCATAGAGGTGATGGTGTAATCTTATGTAGAAACAACAGCGACATCATTCAGGCCATTGGTCACAAAAATGTGGACAATTTTTGTTATGGTACCTATTCTCAGGTCCAGCGTAGGGGACTTCTGAGAATGCAAGTTTCCATCTTCGCCGCTACAACGGTCGGATAGTCCTTCTCCTTGTCTGTCCCACTGTAGTCATCTCCATGTGAAGTGCCGCAGGCGACCTTCTGGCCGACCCGCTTTGAACACGTAGAACCGATCCCCATCATGGTACTCTGAAGCTCCCGGGTTGTTAGTCATTAGTGCTGACAAAACTCTCATGCCGCTAACCCCCTCTACTGTCGCATGTGGGTGGAGGACTATATGTCGCCGAATTCGAAAGAGTCCCGCGTGGATTCCCTGCAGGAACGCATGTCCGCGCATGTATAAGGGTGCGTATTTGTCGCAAATGACCGCGGGGACCGCCCTTTTTCGGCGACATATAGTCCTCCACCCGTCGCATGTTTCTAGGGACTGTTCTCCAGTTTCGAACGCTGTAGCGGGTTGTCTCCCTGTTTGGCAGCGACGCTAACGTTGATTTTCGCTGATTGCGTTTCGATGCGAGCGTCCATGCGCTGCAGATACAAATCGTCATCATAATCTGTCTCGTCTTTAGCAACCTAGATCGCTCTAAAATGCAGCGTTCGGGCAAAATCTCGACTTCCAGTTCTCGGAGCTTCTGGCCCTTTCGACGTCCGTGATTTCAAATCCGCACTGAAAATTGCGTGAAATCCCCAAAAACCCTCATTTCCAGAAATCCTTTTTGAAAAGCGTGTACGAGTGTTCCAACACTTATTCGTTGCGAAACAATAAAACATGTACCACAGAGAGTGATACCTTGCAGGTGCCAAGCGAAAGTAGCGCCGTAATCTGTAAGCTCGGCTTAATTGAGGTGCCTCTATCGAACTGTGTTATCTGAAGTAAGTGAATTGGCGCTATTCCAGTATCCGGGCCCCAAAATTTTTTTGTCATGGATTTTGCTGAAACTTGGCCCAGGGGACTTATTCGGCCCGCTGATGCCGAATACCATGTTGGTTTTAGACGGTAGCGTCATTATCTAGGGTTACGGTGGGTATACGGTAGGGGGTCAAAATGGGGGTGGTGCAGGAGGAACCAAAGGACTGCCGCCTGTATCCGCAGGAGATAATTAAGAGCGCGAGCGCTGTGGAGAATATTTTGGCAAGGATCCAGGAAAACTTGTCAGGGATATCCTTTAGAAACAAATCTTCATAACTTTGCCTGAAGATGATTTTGAGAAATTTGAAAAAAAGATTCGTATTGCAAATTGGAAGACGCGTTCACTGAGCCTAATAGTACGTGAAAATTGGGAATTGTAAGGGTAAGAAAAGTTAGCAGCCTTATAGACTCCATAAGGCTTTCTAAGCGTTTCTTTGATATTTTCTCATTCCTTAATCATTTTTCTTGCTTATTTTTCTTCCTGTTTCCTATCTTGATACAGCTGAGGAGTAATTTGAGGAATTTGAGCAATTTGGGCGCTTTTGAGCGCTTTTAGGCGAAGTGTGGCCGGTAATCTCGTCGCACAAGCACAAAACGTCATTTTTGGGCTCAAGGGGGTATTCGTAAAATTTATTGGGATCAAAGGGGAATTCGTTTTGGAAAACCCCGTTTTTCCACCTCATGCCGGGCCCTGTTATGGAGACTTTTCGTTTTATGAATTTTGAAATTTCAAATTATTAAAGACCGGAATTTTCTTTCAAAATTCATTCTTTTTCTTTGAAATGAAGCAGTTGTTTGCCTTTTGAGTCAATAAATCAAGCAATCAAAATGTGATAAAAAACGTGTGGAGGCTTGCGTCAAGATGCAATAATCTTTGGTAAACATAGAACTCGAGTAGCGAGACAGAGTTAGTTGTTTATCTATATGGTAGGCCTATTACTGAAAAAATGCTCATTTCAATACTGATTCCTCTGTCCTTCGTATCCTTGAAACTTAATTTCAAGAAGAGTTAGAGTTTGTTTTTAATAGATATCCTTGACAGATTCTCCTGGATCCTCGCCAAAATTTTCTATACAGCGCTCGCGCTCCTAATTACTATCTCCTACGGCTACAGGCGGCAGGCCTTTGGTTCCTCCTGCACCGCATCCGATCAAAATTACGGAATTCGCTGAAACTTCGCACAGAGGGGTTATTCGACATGCTGATTAGACATGTCACACTTTCTCCGCCCGAAAACGTCTCCCTGCATGGCTAGGTAGGTTTACGGTAGAGGTCAAAATCACAAAAAATGTATCTTCTCCCTGTGTTTTGCTTAGGCAAAAGCCGCAGCAGGGTGTGTAGCGCGCGGCGGTGGCCGCGTGTGCAAAGTTTCACGACGTCCTAATCGCCGTACATACGTTTTAGGCAGAATTATGTTTTTCACCCGTTACCGTGTACCTACTGTAACCCGAGAAAATGACGCTACCGTTACAAAACCAATATGATATTCGGCATCAGCGTGTCGAATAACCCCTCTGTGCGAAGTTACAGCGAATTTTGAGATTTTGACCCACTACCGTATACCCACCGTAGCCCGAGAAAATGACGCTACGGTGCAGATTTGATGTGATATTTGGCATCAGCGGGCCGAATAAGTCCTGTGGGCCAAGTTTCAGCAAAATCCGTGACAAAAAATTTTTGGGGCCCGGATACTGGAATAGCGCCGGTCAATTTTGCCTGAACGCTACCTCTAAGACTTCGCCCCACTGGCGTCCTTACCAGTAGCTTTTCCAAGATAGGAGGAGATTTCCATAGTATCACTATGTTTTACGATTGAGTTATTCGCAGGAATAGCTTGTTGGGCTCTGAACCTCCCGCGAGAGAAGGGCGGAGCTTATTTGCTAAAGGCGACTCCGGATCGTTCCCCACACCTATCCGGGATACAAGCTTTTATGGAAGCAGGGAGGTCTAGCCTGGCTCCGCTTGCTAATCAGAGCATGCGCGAGGTCGCTTATTAATCCCTCATCCGCCATAGGCGAACATACTACGTAAGCTCGCGACATTAACTAGCTGAGAGCCATCATGCACAAGATCGGACTCTGCGCTCTGCCCAAGAGTATGTTTCGAGCACATGGAGAGCGTAGCAGGTTTGCCCCGAGCACGAGATACTCTTGCGTTTGGATATGCATTGCACCTCATCCCCAACAAACTTTCGCACGCAGCTACCCTTTGTCCTATTTGGAGTGAGCCAAACTCAAGTAGCTTGGGCCCGCGACCGTCTCGTCTGACTGCGTCGCGTTCGTGAACTGTCTCTAACATTTCCCACGCTTGTAACGATTAGAGCTCGCCTCTTTCCCATCAGGCGAGAGGATATGACAGACAATACGTTCCCGAACGCAAAACAGGCTGCAGGCGAGGCGGTCGCGCGGTGCCAAGCAGCGCGTGTTGGTTTGCCAGATGAGACAGAGGGTAGATCGCATACGGTGAGAAAGCAGAGCTGTGCTGCAGCATGCAAAGTGTGATAGCATCGCGACATCCGTCCCATTCTCCTAAGGGTAGGAGACTATGGGCCGCATGCAATAACATCCCCGCTGGGGAGGGGATGCAGCTTGAAAGAAAGCTTCATATCCCGAAACTTCAGATATCTGGATTTTACGCTGTCTATCTATCAGTAAGTATTCCCACCATCCTCCACTATGGGTATACTGAACAGAAGCGAGAAGCTATACAAGCCGCATTTTCCAGCTTTTTGTATGATCCCCTGATGATCACCTGGGGGACGGTCGTCTACTCTTTGAAGTCATTTTTCTTTCTTCAAATTTAATGAAAACATTCAAAAGTTGTACTGCTTATCTAATCCAATAGTGCTGAGCTTTGCTGATAAGAACAAACGATGTTTTGGAGTCATGAAATTTTCGATGAACCACAGGTCGAAAGTTGAGGTTTATCGGGAATTTCGATGTTTCAGAAGCTCTTTTGTTCTCATCAGCAATATGCTTAGCACAGTTGGATTAGCTAATCAGTGCAACTTTGGAATGCTTTCATTAACGTTGAAGAGAGAGAAATGACTTTGAAGAATGAACGATCGACCCCAGGGATCATCAGGGGATCATATAAAAAGCTGAAAAATGCGGCTTGGACAACTTCTTGCCCCTGTTCAACATGCTCATGGAGGGAATACTTACAGATAGGTAGACAACGTGAATTTTGACTATCTGGAGCTTCAGGACATAAAGCTTTTTTTTTAAGCTGCGATCCCCTCCCCGGCGGGGATGTTAATGCATGCGGCCCCATATGTCGCCGAAAAGGGGCGACCCCAGCTGTCATTTTCAACAAATATGCACCTTGCACTTGCACGGAGGTGCCTTTTGCAAGAAGTCCACGCGGAATCCTTCTACATTGGGCGACATATAGTCCTCTTCTCTTAGCTCAAAGTGATGGACAAGAGTCAGCCATCAACCGACCTAACACCTCCTTGGTTGGGTTGGCTCTCAATAACTACTTCCATTAGAATTATGAGATGAAACGAGATTTTAAGTGTGGGAATCATCCTCACAAGATTCGGCTTTTGCAAAGATATAAGTAAGAATGCTTGACAATGCAGCCTCAACGATTTTGTCTGAATGTATTACAGAAGTGAAAATTGCCGACGAAGAGCTTTATGAAGGTGGATGTGTGATGTAAGTTCAATTCTCATGACATCCATGGTCCTAATCCACCTCAAGTGCTGAACAGGAGCGGGAAAATCGGGCGTAGGGCACATGTGGAGGTAAAGCTTTTAATTGCTTATATACATATTCAAATGCATGAAAATTTCCAATTACGATGAGATATCGCATAACAATATAAGATCAGATATATATACTGTCAGCTGGATGTTGGCGTATGCCTGCTAGTCAAGTCATAATTCAACGCCATCAGAAGCAGCTCATTCTTTGTAGAGTACTGTAACATTTCTGTTAGGCAGTGTGAGAAGATTGAATGACACTATTCTTACAATTTTGTCCACGTCGAAACCATCTTGGTCCTTGTCGTCACTGGATCCCTCTTGGTCGAGTCGAGGCTGTAATTGGTAATAAAGCAGAATAAAAATTGAAACACGATATGACTGCAGCGTGGAAACAAAATTTTGTTCGCTAGAAAATCTTACCATTCTTTCATCTTCTAATTCCTTTGATAGCCGCTCATTTTCTTTCTGCAGACATTCGATTTTTTCTTTTAACTGCGCATTTTCCAACATCTGCATTTGATTGGAGTTCTGAAGATACTCGAAATTAGCTACAATCCACGATGGAAAAAAACAGCAAAACGAACATTTAATCGGTGAGCTTCCTGCATTTGTATCATCATGAAATAAGCATACTGCACTCTACTCGTTAAGTCTGTCACCATCCTCTGCAAAAACAAAAAGAGATAATTTGGTGACAATTCAAAGGTTTCTGTCGTTCAGTCACTGTAATATAAGCAAAGGTCTGAAATATCTCACTTTGTGCTGCTCCAATTCCTGTTCTACTTTCTGCCGTAACGCTTTTTCCTTGATCAATTCTGCTCGGAGAAGATTAGTGTCTAGTCCGCTGACACTGGCACTTGCTTGTGACACGAAGGGGCTCTGAACAGGTTTCCTCTCTTGATTTGCTCAACATTATGATGCTTTTCACGTAAGTGCAAAATATGCACTGGTTGCCACCCAAGCGTGCCGCCGTACTTAACGTCCCCTCCACAACTGGGGGACGGTCACGAGTCACGGTGGTCGGGACAAATTTTCTACTAACAAGGGAACGAAGTTTGGTCGAAGCGGCCTTCTAGAATGAGATGTAGAATGTCTTTTAGAGCTTGGAACGCTGATTCCAAATCTACCTTTGTTATCTGCTGCGCGCTCGTGGGCTAGGAGTTATAATCAGGGTTGAGCGTGGGGTCAGGCGCGCCCGACCTGGGGGGTCGTACTGGGGTAAGACAGAGGGGGGGGGTCGTGATTAGGAATCGAATTCGTTCGTGAGGAGATACTACGATTAAGGTGAAGAAGAAAAGCGCTAGTTTAGTGGATATCGCAACCTCACCAGTACTGAAGGAATGAACGGTCTTAAACAGCATACTGATTGATTCCACAATCGCAGTTTCGGCTCAAATCTTCATCTTCTACAAAACTCAAATCTTCATCTTCTACCTTGACATATTATAAATTCATCAAGGAAGCTTGCTGTGTGAAATGGGTATCATTTCCGAGCACGTCAAATTACCTCTATGGGCCCTACAAACCATTATTTACTGCATTATCTAGTGTTTCTCAACGAATAAAAAGCGTGATTTTCAAACGTGATTAACTTGTTTTCAAAAGTGAGAAAAGTCAATTTTTTTTGTACTCGTAACAAAGTATTGTTCCCTACTAGTCTAGGCTAAAAATCGCGCTTTGTATCGCTTGCAAATAGTGGAGTAAGAAATAATGCCAAAATTCCAACCGGCGCGTTTTTCGCCATGACTGCTTCAACTCCACGGATTACCACAAGGCCGAAACAAGTCGAATCAAGTCCAAACACTTACTGTGGAATCTTCGAGGGTTGTGCCAGCGATTCACATAAAACTTGAATAAAAAAGCTTCTTCAATGATAAAGTTAATCGGGTCAGGCGCAACCCCATAAAAGGTCAGGCCGCCTGAGCTTTTGAGGGGTTGCGCCTGACCCGATTAACTTGTTTTCAAAATCTAAAAATCGCTCCATTTCTGCTATGAGTATTGAACTCAAAGCCTCTTCTTGCAATACTGCAAATTTGGAGCCAAACAATACACCCCTGTGGGAATTATAGCTCTAAAAGTAGGGCTATCCAAAATCCAAAACTTGCCGTCAAGTTGCGTGTGCTGTGCAATCGCAGAAAGTCGGCCTACAGACCTCCAAAAAACAAGAACCTCCCAAAAAAGGCTGATCTCTTCGAATTATCACAGCCTGAGGTCCTGGAGGTGAAGCAGAGAGGTCGTTTGGGGGTTTTCACTGGGGGGGGGGGGGGTCGTTTTGGAAAGACTTGTGCCTGACCTCTTGCTCAACCCTGGTTATAATGGTTTTTGTGAGTAAAGACTTGAATGCAAGATTGTATAAAATCAGTCGCAACCTTCTCCTAACGTTCAGATGAGGCAGCAGCGAGTTGATATATTTGAATCAAAAATATTTATTGCAGTGAGTGACCCGCACATCACTTGAGCCCTAGAAAACATGTTACGACTGATTTTACACAAATCTTGCATTGAGCTTTTTACTCACAAAACCTTCATACTTCGCCTAGAAGCCCGCAACAAATAGCGAAAGCAGATTTGGAATCAGCGTTCCAAGCTCTACAAGATGGTATATATCCCATTTTAGAAGGCCACTTCGAGCAACCTTCCTTCCCTTGTAAGCGATGCCGTAAGCGATGTCAGTCATACAAGAACCGGTACTCCTGGCGCAATGTTACTTATGGCACGATTCATATATCTGTCCCCAACCTCACCCCCACTCCCCCCCCCCCCTCTCCCTCCTAGTTCCCCGCCGTGGGGTTTAGCGGAAGTTTTGTAGAATATAAAATTTAAGCGCGACTTGCGCAGCAAATGGCCGCCGAGCGCAGCGTGACTCCTAAGTGGAGTGGAGCCCCACAATTGCTGCAACCCTGGTCTGCATCTCCGACCTGCGACACGCTGGCTAACTTGTTCGCGACATGCGATAACATATCGGCGACAGGCACAACATATAACAAGACTTTTGAGTACCATATCGCTAACATACTGTTCATGCTGCAGACATGCCGGCCATTCACAGCAGCAGTTGTAAAGAAGAGGATATGCTAAGATTAGTGCTGACATCAAGAGCAGAAGCCGAAGTCTTGCCAACATGTTGTGCATGTTGCATATCGTGTTGCCAACATGTCAGATATGCGTGGTGCAGGTCGAGACGCAGACTAAGAGTAGGAGCAATTGCGGAAGGCGCGAAATAGGCTTGTAAATTGACACGATAGTGTACCTGTGCCGACATTATCGACACCTAGGGGTTCAGCGTTGCGGTGTCTGAGAGTACGCTCACATGCAGAATTCACCGCTTAAGCTACTCTTCACATACCATCCCCAGTAGATCTAGGGTGACATTCGATGAATGAAGTTCACAGTGTTTATCCCAATCCCAATCAAACTATCGGCAAGGCGGGAGGAGGGGTAGAGGACTATATGTCGCCGAAAAAGGGCGGTCCCCGCGGTCATTTGCGACAAATACGCACTTTTGTACATGCGCGGACATGAGTTCCTGCAGGGAATCCACGCGGGACTCTTCCAAATTCGGCGACATATAGTCCCCCACCCCGGGAGCAGCAAGGGCTTTGCGTCAGATCTGCGGCTGACTGTCTGCTCTCTCCACATTCCCTTCGCTCTCTTAGGCTGTGTTCATACTGATCAGTTCGAGCGCTGTGCTGGAACTGTTCCCGAAATTCCGGATCAGTATGAACGCAGCCTTGGCGCGCGTGCAGCGGGTATAACGTATGCAGCGCAAACTAGCGCTGCGAGCGCCCAGAGATCTAGCCAAGGTTTGGCCTGATCCCGATTGAGAGAAACTGTATATGCAACCAGTTAGCAACAGCAGAAATCAGTATCAGTCCCTTTTCCTCGGCACCCATCGCCATAGCCCGAGCGAGGCCTGCAATGGCAATATTCGTTTATTCCCACCCCTGCAACCTTCGCTTCCCATCCTGCTTCCTTCGTTCCACAGTCACTTCACACAGCAAGAATTGTGGCCTCAGACTGTGCCAGAGGCGGAGTGCAGAAATCTATTAACGTTGATGAAGCAACTGACTTCATCTTGACATTGTTTTCCAAACTCCTGTCAGGACTGCTAGGCGTATAAGCTACATGTCTTCACCCTACTATATGCCACTCCTTTAATAAAGCATATTTCACTCATCGCTAGCGATCAGAACGGAAGTAATGCATAAAAGAGTCTAATTTCTCACGAATGCTGCGGATACCCACATAAGCACATGCAATCCTAATCTGGCGTCCCATACCGGAACACCTGCACCTGGTGCAAGATGTAAGTCTAGTGCCGGACAAGGGCACAAAACGTGACGGCGCGAAGGCGGTTCTATCAGCAGAGCGCGTGTAGCACTGTAGCCCAACTAACAATGCTTGCGCGCCTTGAGCGTCCCGCAATGAACTTAAAGGCATCGTTCCGCCAGATTTGGGAGTACAATGGCTCTGGTAGTAATGTAATAGTAGGCCCCCTAATTAAGCGACGACAGAAGTTTGCAGCGCGAAAGGGAGTCTACGAAGTCTACAAATTGCCCACCAAATGTCCCGGATCTTACGGTAGGCTTGGGCGAATACGAGATGCAGCAGGGTAGAGACGCAGAGTCGCTGCGACCGTGCCCTTATGTGCCATGCGTGCTCTGGCCTTTCAGTTCGAAATTGCCGTGTGGGCGGCGTCCGGACCTACCGTAAGATCCGGGCCAGTTTCGGAGCAAATTTCAAGCTTGGTAGACCCCCTTTTTCGCTCCGAACTTCAGTCATCGTTTAGGTAGGGGGTCTATTTTAACACAGCCACAAACCCCGGCACCCATCTTTTCGCCGGGAGCTGTCTTCAATGTGTTATGTCATTTGCTCGCATTTCCACATTCTGACCTAGCTCAACTGACATCGTTCTGATAGTAACATGGTGCGCGACGCAGAACACAAGACATCAAAGAGTACGTCACTGGCTGAAAAAAAAATTGAGGCCATCCGCTACGATAGTGACGTACTCATGAGCCTCATGAGCGCAGCACAACATGAGAGTACGTGGTATGGGTTGCCTGGGGGGGGGAGGGGACCGAGTGTATGGGGAAGATGTCAGCTCGCGCTGGAATGAGCCCGATTCGTGCGCCTCGGGTCCCGCGTTGCCGCCTCACGTGGACCCTGCGCCGCGTACGCAAACGTGTTCTCTGACCATTTTCCCGAGCCTGACTGACGATTCTCGACTCTGAGCTTTTCCCATGATCAGGGCTAGAAGAATGATTAGAAGACACGTTCGCGAACGCGAGATCACGACTTGTACAATGGCAAATTGGTACTGGTTCAAGCATTTCACCTCGCAGCTCGTGCTTCGCAGTGATATCCGCATCCACTTTCGCACGATTAAATCTCAGAAACAAGGCCTAAGGAGCGTATATGCAACTCCACACCAGAAGATTTGCAGCAAGTATTCATGACTTATCCGTTCCCCAGTTGTACCTGAACCACATCAGTTACAAGTTTTTCGCAAGCATTCCAAGCAAGCATTCTCCACAAAGGAATATACCCTCGATATGAACCCACATGTCTTCCCTTAACCCATTGACGACGATGTGGACCACCGGTGGCCTACGCACTTTTTGCTGCCAGGGACGATGTGGACCCCCGGTGGCCCACACCTCTCGCAAAGTCGTATCATTTGCAGGTCTAGTATTTTTTCCACGTATGAATATTTTTTCCAATTTTTTGTATTCTTAGGACCTATAGGCTCTGTCGTTCAAGAAAATGTTGATAGTTGTTTACAAAACAATGTTGCATTTCGTAAATAAGCACGAAACCCTTCCACACTCAAATTGTTGTGCAAAATCGCGTCGTCCCACAGGGCCGCCGCGCAAAATTAGGCGTCGTCGTCAATGGGTTAAAGGCAGCGTCCAGGCAAATCTGGATATACGGAGTTCTGATGTGGAAAGTAATTTTGGGGCCCTAACTAAGAACTGCACAAGCGGCAGTTTGAATGGTGAACTCACAGTGGAGTATTCGCCTCCAAACTGAACCCCGGGATCGTATTCGCATAGACTCATGGCGCGAACACATCAGTTTCGCGCGAGGACCATGCGTGTGGCGCCATGAGTCCATGCGAGTACGATCCCGGGGTTCAGTTCTCCACTGTGAGTTCACCATTCGAGCTGCCGCTTGGGCAGTGTCTTAGTTAGGACTCCAAAATTACTTCCCACATCAGAACCCAGCATGCCCAGGCCTGGACGCTGTCTTTGCATGATGTGGATTACGTGGACTGGTGAGGCGCCGTCTCGCTTCGAAATTGCACACGTTGCGGGCGCATCTTTGACGTGGTGTGGCAACAAGAACAACGTGGGAAAGCCTGCACCACGTTGTTCTAAGCGCCATGTCACTCCAAACGATGCGCCCGCAAGCTCGAAGCGAGTCGGCGTCTCACCAATCCATGTAATTTTGAGGGAAGAATATGAGTTGATGTCGACTGTATATCCCTGAAATGTAGAGCTCGCGTGACACGGGCGCACTTCCGGCAATCGCATTTTCTCGGTTCATCCCCTCAAATGTATGAATATCACCGATTCGTTGGTCACATGGACTGGATATCACTGCGAAGCACGAGCTGCTAGGTGAAACGCTTGAACCAGTACCAATTCGCCATTGTACAAGTCGTGCTCTCCCCATTTCAGCCGCGCCGCGCTGATCCTCAACGTTTGGAGCAGTGCGCGCGGTCAACGAATCGATATTTTTGCATACCTATAAGAGTATATATACAATGAAGTGACTGAGCTAGGCATTGAGGTGTTCGTCATCACGATTCTATGAATGACGTATACTTCGACGTGAAACACGTGGCCACTGTCAGACAATGGATCACGAGGAAGATAAAAGCTGTCCAGCCGTACCTAGTGACGTAGCCAAGATAAACGAACACGGCCACATAGATACGCTATGCGATGTTGTATGAACTCCTATAGAAACGGTATCTATAGGCTCGTGGGTGCACTTGGCCTATCATAATAGCAATCAGTATGACGCAAACTCAGCTTTGGTGCTTAACGATAATAGAACTGCAACTAGAGCTGGATTTAAACGGAATGCTGGGCGGCACGACGGCAAAATTTACCCACTAGTTACTGCAGACTAACAAGAGAGGGTCACGAAGTCGAGTGACCGATCACCACAAGCAGCATACTGTTGGTGAGGGCTTGGAGTGCCAGTTCCAAATCTGCTCTCCCTATCTGCAAAGCACCTTTGAGAAAAAAGTTGTGTGCATTTTGTGAACTCGAAGTAAAGTAACGGCCGGGACAAAATCGATAGTCACAACCCCTCTAGTCCTAAAACGAAGCAGCGGCAACCGTCAGGAAAACACAATAAACTCCTCCTTCCTTGTTTATCGATTTTCCCTAACTCTCCGCATGACGTCTAGAAAGGCTGTAACAACTGCTTTTATTACGACCAATATAATTTTTCGTTCAAAAAATGTCGATGACTTCTTTTCCCGAGGCGCTCTGCAGATAAGGAAGGCAGATTCGAAATCAACAATCGTAGCTCTCACTAACGGTATGCAGTTTATAGTGATCGGCCACTTCGACTTGTGGCCCTCCCTTGTAAAAACGAGCACCAAAAAGCCCTATGAAATGAAATTTCCGCTTTCCCAAACAGGTTGAAATCGCGCGGTCAACTGTCAACTATGGGGCGCGCGCACGACCCCTTACAAAGCGTGCGCGCGCGTCATTCTTGCATGCTTTCAACCTATAGTAAGTTTCAACTCAGTTTAGGCGGAAACTGGACTGGCGGGAGTCAACTTCGCAACGATTCGCGCCGCTTTGCAGTCTGCGTCTCTTCATTCCAATCTATCTCGCTGAGCCAGTGATGGTGCAGACGCTGCCCCACTTGGAATGTTTCGCCTACTCCGGGTTGAAGATGACTGTATTTGGGCGACCGCCTTCGTTATGGAGCACTTAGCCCTCACTTCGTTCGCGCTTTGATCTCCGCTCGCGAACCAAATGAACTGCTCTTCGTGCGCAAAAACATAGCCCATAGGTATCGTCGTCTCCCTGGTGTACGTTGGGCGGAGCATTTGCAGACATTCAAACACGTTTGCGAACTTGTCAAACCTCTACTGCAGAGCATGGCTCTTTGTACTCTCTAAACTGCCATGTATATATGGCACATGTGGCAGATTTAATAGCGAGAGATTACAAAAGCAATGCTTTGCATTAGAGGGTCAACAAGTAACCAACGTGTTCGATGTCTGCAAATGCTCTACCCAACGTCCATCGGGAGGCCACGATACTTTAGTGGATATCAATCTCTGAAAAGCTGTTGATCCGAATAACGTTAGAGACGCAGAGGTTCGCCAAGTCATCTATTGCTGGCATAGTCCCGCATGGATGCTGTCTCACTTTACAGTAACAGTCCGACAACAGCCAGCGCAAAGTTATTGAATGAATCAGAAGGTCAGTCAATGTAGTGTGAGGGAAGGGGTGGGTAGGGGGTGGGGGCGATATGCAAGATGCTAGCAATAGGTGCAATTTGTCCTATCGGGATCAGGCCGCAACGCTGGCTTAAGTTTGCGTGCTCGCAGGCTGGGGCTTGCGATGCATAGGCGCGCTGTCGGAGAGAGTGGAGAGACTGAAGAGAGAGCAAAGCTAGCCGCAAACATGGAGCATAACCACGCGACACAGACTCTCGCCATCCTAGTCTTGGCCTGATTGGGATGTACACTTGTTCATCAAACTTCTGGCTTTCCGCGTAAAAACTACGAAGGAGCCGTGATCAAGGCTTGCCCAAACGGCCTGCAAATGCTTTTCAACTTGAAGGCAGTGTCCGGGCAGAAACTCGACTTCTAAAAAATCAACTTATCTGGGGTTATCCGCAAAGCTGAATCCGAAAATCCACATCAGAAGGCGCGAAAACGGCGAGAACATGCATTTTCCAAGTCCTCACATTTCGAAATTTGGGGATCCCCGCCAGGCTAAGACGCAGAGGTTGCAAAGAGCGCACGGTTTTTAACTGTGGCGGCATACGTACTCTGCCGTCTGGCAGGAATTCAAACAGCTCGGAGGACCCCGCCCCAAGGCGTAAGTTTCCCCAATTTGCAATCGTTTTTCTTGCTTTAGGTCGAACGTTTTATGCTCGCAGTTGCGCGATGTTGTGTCTCAGGGGGGCTACTTTCACATGGCAGAGAAATCTCAGAACCCCCATTTTGCCCGGACACTGCCTTTAAGCCTCCAAAGCTCTCCGCTTCCAATCCAACCCTAAAGTGTTGAGTTAGGTGTAGGGGACGGCTGATGATGGGTTCCGGCTCTTGCATGAAAGCAAAGCAAAGTCAGTTACAGTCTGTGTCAGTGCGTATTGATTTTTTCCTACCGTAAATCTAAGTTCGCATGCCCGCTCTACAAGGTCTCGCGCCACGTGGAGTATCAACCTCAATGGATATGACACGCTCAAAGACGTGACGCGAGACCTGGCAGAGTTGACGAACGAATTCACGCATACTTTAGACAGAGCCAATTTGTATCGCACAAACAGTATGCGATACGATTTAGGGACCTGGAGTGGAGGGCTCGGAGATGGATTCCGCGATGTATGGGTCAATTGTGCTCGCTCATGTACAGGCAAAGCGTTAGTAAAGAGTTTCACAGCTTCACCAGTTCCCACATTCACAGAGGTTCTTGAACGAGTCCCATAGTACTAAGACAGATGCCGCTCGAACCTTCAATCATCCATTTCGCTATTGGTGAAAACAAAAACAGTGATTTAACCAACAGCGAAGTGGATAAAGTAAATCAAGTACGGCGACCGTCCACTCTCGGTTTTATCGCTGAAGGAGCTGGATGCGGAGGGTTGAATCCGAGCGCAAAAAAAATTTTAGACCTGCATCACGTCCACGTCCATGGTAAAAATAAATAGATACTTCAATTAGGCACCGCCTCCGCGGACTGCTGGTCCTTTCGTTCCACTGCTGCACCTCGTGTTAGGACCAGCAGAGGTCAATTCGCGGAGAGGTGCCTACGACACACGCCATTCTTGATTTGCTTAATCCACTTGATCCACTTCATCATGATCAATTCAGTGAAGTGGATGGAGATCAAGCGGATCAAGTGGACAACCACTTCGTTATTAGTCACTTCACTGTGATCAGTAACGAAGTGGATTGAATATGGCGGGTGCCTAAGTGAGGGATTCATTTCTCTAACTCCGCGTCCAGTCTTCATGCCGCTTGGGGACTATTTGACCGAGCGCCTGTACTGGTGTTCAGGGCAAGGAATCTAACTGTTGTCCTCACACCTGATATCTGCTGAGCAACTTGTACTTAGCAGGTGTTTGAACATATATCTACAGATCAAAACTCGCTAGGTGGGCAAAAATCGGGTTGGCTAGTCTAGAATTCTTGCTTCAATCAAACGATTTAGGAAGCATAGGTATCCTAACTACTTGACAGAATAAAAATCTCAACTCAAAACTTACATCGGTGATCGACTGGCCGAAAAAGAGGAAACTCTGTTGAGCCATCTGTTGCTGCTGTTGGGGCACCACTTGTTGTTGTCCGTTTGTGTACGTATTTAGATCCATCACTGAAACATTACATTCAAAATGAGAATGAATGCATCAAATAATATGAGCTGCTGTGCGAAAACATCGGAGAATGTTTACATTCTGCGCTTCGCGCAAAAAGAAAGAACTGTGCTTGCTGACCACATGGTATGATAGTGACGTACTGAAGAACTTTTTGCCGCCCTAACTGATCAATATATTCCTGAGGTAAAGACAGCGCAAGTAAGGTCAAGTCCGCCCGCGAGAGGGCGCCCCAGAGAATGATTTTATATTTCCGGGCAAGTTACCCCACTGTCGGCACACCGCAAACACCTGGGGGAAAACTGACACCTCAGCGATTTGCGAGCGTTACGGACAAAGTTACAACTGAGTGTAAGGTGGAGTGCAATTCGAGTGCTATTTTGCATAAGGGTGATATTGACTTCAGTGCTGCCAGCTGAGCAATTCATTGTTGTAGAGTACAATGCGAGTAAAGTGCAGAGAGCAGTGAAATGGGAATATTACATTGGATGAAAAAATCTTGCTTTGGGTAATGCTAGACTAATTGATTGATAGATAATGGTCATAATTGTTCAAATAGCCAAAAAGATCACCACTTTTGTTTACGCTTTATCCGCATTATTTGTGTTATTAGGGTTTTGTATATAGAGCACAAGCACTCGCGCACCAGGCATCCGGGCATGATCATCATGATATTGGCAGCTAGTCTTACATTCAGGCTTACTCAACCGCAAAAATGAGAACATTGAGAACAAAAGTATCCAGCAAAGCGTTCGATCAAGAGTTGTGCTGGAACTGTTCCCGAACTTTTGGGTCGGTACGAACGCTCGGGAGACGGTCAAGAGGCGCGATTTTTCTGGCTGTCACCAATCCAAAACTTCAATTTCTTGCTACGGGATTGTTCAAAAAGTGCCGGACAAAGTCCATCGGCTTACTAGCTGTTTGAAGTAACCAGTTGATAAGTTTTGCTAGAAAACTGACCGGATTATTTACAAAATTGCTATTAACTGCATTTTCAGGGGTTTTTGACCTTCAACAATTTTGTTTGAAATCGATTTCAAGATGATAATATCGAACAAATCCTGCAATTCCCTAATATACTCCTTTTGAGATTTCAAATAATTCTGGAACTTCATAAAACACTAAATATGTGCTATAGGCTGCCCATCTGGCAATAAGAATCGCGTCTGGCAATAAGAATCGCGCCTCTTGACATATCATCGGCTCCCAGATTCGTGTGGAGGTGGAGTCTTGCCAACTCACCGCGTGGCGGTTTTTGCTAGCGAGAGATTACGAAAAGCAATGCTATGACGTGGAGGTTTAGCAAGTTTACATGTGTTATCAGGCAAAGTCTGCAATACACCTCCACACGAATCTGGGAGCCGATCATACACCCCGAACGCTCCTTTAGCACACCGATGCGTGAGGCGGCTGGAGACGCTGGTTCCCGAAGAGCAATAGGCTTTTACAGGCGATGTAAGCGCGCAGCTCTCTTTGACGTACAGTCGAGTAGATTTAGCGGTAAATATAGTGTGCTTGCACAGAAGGTGAAATGCGGTGAAATTTGCGCGTGAACAAGTAGCCACGCCAGTACTGCGGGTATTTTGCGCGCGCAATTGGCCGGCGTCACAGTCGAAGCTATTTCTTCACGCGCCAATTTTACCGCATTTCACCTACTGTGCAAGCACACTATATTTACCGCTAAATCTACTCAACTGTATTTCCATAAATTTCTGGAGAAACCTTTGTTCAAAACATACTCTACTATGTAGAAAACCGCGAAAATGGGCGGAAAACGATTAACAGTGAACGTCTAAAGTCCCTCGAGCAATACTCGCTTATGTTGGTGTACAATGCAGGACACAACAACTAAGTTCTGCACGGCCTGTGCAGCTTACCGTGAGAATTACCAGTGAAAGGAAAGGAAAGAAGAAAGTGGGCAGGCTTAGCAGTCTTCTGGCCCACAAGCAAACAAATGACATCAGCGATGTGCGATAAGATGTCGGTAGCGTTTCACTTACTTGAGTATCGAGAGGAGTTCATATGGGTATGGGTATACATGGTATGTAGAGGTATAAGAGATCGGTCGTATACAACTTCTGAGGTCGTCACATGAAAGGCTAGGGTCACATAAAGTGAGAGTTGTGCTCGAGCAATAGGCGGTATGTGTTACACTTGAGCCTCCGCCTGTTCTCCACAAACTCCCCCTGCTGCGATTGCGAAACAACGCCTGCCAATGTCGCAGGATCAATTCGAGGTCGTGGGCCGCTGCTGGCGTTCTAAATCAGTAGAAGTCCACAAACTCGACAAAGCATCCTTCACGCTCTTGCTGGAAAAGCCCATTTTTGGCTATCGATTGCGCGCTTATCCCTCGATAAGAAGTGCAAGGGCGCATTTCTCGGCTGTCGCAATTTCCTAATGCACACCAAAATATAAGTATCATTCATTCTCCGACTAGGAGACACGAGCACGCTTTGCGTACGTTTGCTTGACAAGTTTACGAGTAAGTTATAACGCGTTTTGATTGATTTATTACTAGGTTTTTGGAAGAACGTGTTCGATCTCGTTAAACAGAGCAAGCTGGAACATGTTCTCTCAGGAATTCCTAATACTAATTAACCGAAACGCGTTAGAACGCACTTAACTTGTTCTAACAATAAGCAAAGCGTCTTTAGTCAGAGGAATGAATGATAAGTTTGATGTGTTCAAAAGCAATGTATTTCAAAGCAATTCTACAAAGAAAATGTTCAGGGTTGAGAGGTTCAACCCTGCTTGTCCATCTGCCTTATTGTGGCCGAAGCGACCTATCATAAATCAACCCACATAGAAGCGAGCGGATTCGGGTCGATGGGTTGGAAGAAGCACCAGTCTTGCGATAGTTTGCGCCAACCTATTCGCTTAGCGATGCGATATCACGATGTGATGTGAGCTCCCAGCATACAGCATCCATGCTAGTGGCACACCCCCACCAAGCCGCGGTGTGTGGTGGAAAAGTCGTTTGGGAATGATACTTGTGCCAATGACGATGTCCTTTGCACAAGCGCCTTGGGTTTTCGAGGCAGCCTCCCATGGAGCTTGTGCCGCGCCTGCGAACCTACCATCCGGGCATTTTCACCTGTTGAGCAACGACTGGAAGCTGATCGGCGTGGAAAGCGGCGCAAACTCCACAAGTCAGACGGCTGCGCTAACCCGTATCGCTGATGCAAACGGCACAGCGATTCATGCTGTGGGCGTACACACTCGCCATACCATGGAGATGTAGGTAACATTTGATTCAACTGGCTTGGCACCATTAGGGCGGGGTTTTGTGATCTAGTTGAGGCCGCTCGCGCCCGTAACGCACCTGCGTCTCTCTCGCGCGAGTGCTCTCTGATCATGACCTAGCCTTAATTAGGTCACGAAGCCCCGCCCTTGCTGATGCCAAGCCACTTGAATCAAATGGTATGATGAAATGCGGGAACGACAAAATCGATCTGAAAATTGGGGCAGCTGCCCCGTATGCAGAGCCCGCACATGCGCGCGTTTAGGTAAGTGCCAGAGTAAGCGAATATTTTGTTCAGGTTGGGGGCCGCGCAGATTGGACGTCACTCACCATGCTGGCGTCAGTCCAAGTGACGTCCATTCTGCGCGGTACCCCAACCTGAACAAAATATTCGCGTACTCTGGCACCTACCTTACCGCCGGACATTAGGCATGCGCCGACTTATTCTCTTAGCCGCTTCAATCACGTCGCTGATTGTGAGATCACTAATTATCACTGATTTGATCGATGAGTGTTCACTGATCACCCAGTCGGCGAAGCGGAGAGCGGCTAAGCGCCTAAGCGGATAAGCATGGCGCCGGCAAGCCGTGGGCACCTCAAAGGCGGCGGCTCGGCGGAATGACAACTTTGGGAAATTCATCGTTCTCGTCTCCTCCAGATAAGCTAAGTCCAAGACTGTGTTTCGCAGCTTCAAAAGATATCAATAACCCGCTTTTGTAGACGTGAAAAGTGCTACTGGGGCGGACGGCGTATGCCTGCCCTCTAGAGCGCGATTGGCCCGTGAGTGGACACCGTACCCATCTCGGCGGCAATTGGATTATTGGCTCCAGCGCCACTTTCGCGAGCCGCTCACACTTTTCACGTTTGGAAAAGTGGGTTATTGATCTTTTGAAATTGCAAAGCACAGTCGCTCATCCAGGAGAACCCGAGGACGATGAATAGCACAAATTGTCATCCTGCCGAGCCGCTGCCTTCACCGAATTCAGTCGCCCCGCGATCTGGCAATTCGTCAGATGTCTTCAGTTCAATACTGGCAGACGCCAAATGCACAGCATGTATACTTTCGTAGGTGATAAAATGCCCTATCTGCCATGCATTCAGAAATTCCTCACGATGATTTGCAAACAATTGAAGTTTTGCCAAATCGCGTCGCGACTTCGCATGAGGTACCTCAGGGCCTTAAAATGGGGTGGACGACTATATGTGCCGAATGTGGGAGAAACCCGCGTGGATTTCTTGTAGGAACGCATGTCTGTGCATACGAAAGGGTGCGTATTCGTTGCAAATGACCGGGGAGGGCTGCCCCTTTTCGGCGACATATAGTCCTCTACCCCCTTAGAGTGCGCATAGTTGAACGGTTCAAAAAACAACTCTGCATCTCGATTTGTGCGCGACTGGATCCCACACGTCCTCAGGTGAAGGGCTCCAAGAAGCCCCTTTTCGACAACTTCGCGCTTTCATGCACATTTCCAAGACCAGCGCAATGGGATAGCTCACGTGAGCTAATACACTTAGAAAAATCGCTCACTCCCTTCAAAAGTAGATGACAGTAAGTTACTGGATATTCAGGTCAGTTTTTCAGCAATAATGGACAGCATAAAAAATAATCACCTCGAGAAGGTAGCATTTTAGCACTGTCTCTAGAGACTCATACAGCACTGTGTAGTTTTGAGTGGTGACGCAAGAAAATCGCGCTTCTTCACCGTCTCTTTCAATGTACAGAGCTAGATAGTTTCACCGCAGATATGAACTGCCAAATTCTTCAAGCGTATGGGTATTACTTGGGGGATCCACGGACAAGGGGACTTAGCACCCTGCGCATAGTTATGAGCATTATCTATGCGGGATTAGTCGCTCTCCTTTGTCCAGTCGGGTGTGATAAAGCAAGGTCGGACAATGCTGCAAGATTGGTTTATTTGACCCCACAAGCAATGCAGTCGCAACTAATGTTTATGTTAGTGAAGGATAAATAGTGCCGGAACTGAAAAGGATAAACTAGTCATTATACGCTTTTCCTCCGCAGATACTTGCGCAGCTACCGCAGCTGGTGAAACATGATTTTGAAAGATAAAAACCTGCAAAAATGCAATTACAGCCAGTTCCTGAGCAAAAAATTGTGTAACTCCACGAACGAAAGCTACAAACGCCTAGTAAATCAAAACACTGTTCCTGCTATTTTTTTGGATCGGAGACAGCCGGTAAACTCGCGCCTCTTGACCGTCTCTTCCCGTGAAGGCGTTTCTGCGCGGAACCACTTGCACACTCTCCCCTCCTAAACTGCAAAAAAAAGGCGAAGTGGAAATGCTCTCGACCCTGGCCCGATCATCCACCAAGTCGTATACGGACTTGTACTTAGTGGTCTGTAAACCATATGAATCATTTTTGCAACAAAACTGGCGCACTCGTGCATACTCAAGTGAAATATGGCGGCAACTGTGTGCAGCTGCGCACCACGCGCGGTTTTCTCGGAAGTGAATGCGTCAGTCTGGTCGAAAATATCCCGTCTTATAGTTACGCCTCGAATAAGCAATTGTGATTATTTGTACGTTCGTTCTATGATACTCTAAATTCGAGACAACTCTCTAATATATGTCAACGTTTTCGTAACTGGTACTTTTTTGTGCATAGAATGACTTTAAAACAAAAGCATATATGAGGCAGGGAGTTTTATGCTTTGAAACTTTTTTGCCCGCAAGTGTGCAGCTGACTGGTTTTGCCTATGTGCAGGAAAAACCAGACAGCTGCGAACATACAAAATTAGATGCGATGCATGGCAGCTGACAAGTTTATTCTTTAGATTTGAAAAGGTTATTGACAAGGATTTTACATACAATTTCCTACTAACGTTCGAAACAATTCGAGCGCAGCCTGAAGCTGCCTAACGCGGCATACACAAGATTACACTTTTGTTCGACAGTTTTATTCATTTGTTATATTTTTAGAGGGAATGACGTCACTTATATTCAGATAGGAAATATGAAACCTGTAGCTCTGCACTTAGGGTTTTTTTTCTTAACTTCGCTCCCTTTCCGCGAGGATTTTGAAGCAAACACCATTCCAAATCACCCCCTCAATCCATAGCCAAATAACAAATCAGTGATGCCGTGTTCTTGTTCCGAAGCGACGAAGTAGATGAAGTGGAAGTACAGAGCTTATCAAATGAAGTGTTGCTTGCCCCAGCATCTCCACTTCCGCGCTGGACTCTGCGCCTCTTCCGCGGACCATGCTCTTTAACCCACTGACGACGACGCCTAATTTTGCGTGGCGGCGCTGAGGGACAACGCGATTTTGCACATCATTTTCGGCGTGGGAAAGTTTTGTGATTATTTACGGGAGATAAAGTTGTTTTGTAAACAACTACAGTCATATTCCTGAACGACGAAGTCTACAGGTTCCAGGAGTGCAAAAAGCTGAAAAAAAAATACTGAACTGTGGAAAAAATGTTAGGCCTAAAAATTATATGATTTTGCAATGGGTGTGGGCCACTGGTGGTCCACATCGTCCCTGGCGGCAAAAAGTGCGTGGGCCACCGGTGGTACACATCGTCGTCAATGGGTTAAGTACTTTCCCAGGGCGAGCGTGGGTAAGGCGGAGCCTCGGTTGATTTTGAATTGATTAGAGAGCATGTTCCGCGGAAGAGACGAAGAGCCCAGCGTGGGAGTGGAGATGCTAGGGCAAGCGACACTTCATTTGATAAGCCCTGTACGTATCAGGGTGTCCCAAAATTAATTCCTTTTTTAGATGAAGACTTAGATATCATTCGATAGAGCACCTCAAGCTCTACGGAATGACTTCCGAAGATCCGCAATCCATGTAAAGTTTGAAGCCAAATGGAAAAAACCTGCGAGAAAAAATCCTACGGA